ACGGTGTATATTTACTGTGGTTGTGACTGCACAACCAGCAGTGGAGGGAGATTAAACGGACACGTAGAGAGTGGTACACTGTTGGAATAGGAAAATGAATGTGCAGAAGTTCAACTCCAGTTCAAATTAAAGTTTGTATTACACATAGGGCAGGGGGAAATATAGGTTAATTCAACATGGTTGGGTTCAAATTTAAAATACCTCAAGGATTATTTATATTGTCTCTCCCATGTTTGGTATGCACCTTATTGGCAAGTTCCGTATTTAAGATACCCTCCCAGTAAATATGTAACGTTGGGCCAACGTTCCGCATTTACTGGGTGATTGCCTTTGGATTGAATGCAATAACCATGGCATGCTTGCGTTCCAGGTGTGAGAATTGGTTCCACAGGGTGCCGCCGTCCCATCCTCGTTACGGGGGCTGCCGTGTTGCGGCGAAACTCAGTTCAGTGTCGTACGATATAAACTCCTATGCCCGTCCTACCATCCGTATTTTAAAATATCGTAATTATCCTGGCTCACTTAATTTTGCTTCCACGTTTTTTTGTTTGCCCCCCCCCCTCTCCAAAATATATTTACGAAAACAAAACTCAATCATACAAATTGCAAATAAATATCCGTCACTGTATTGATTCATGTAATGGTTTGTACAAAGCTTTTTGGGGTTTCCTTGAGTAATTGACGGCATGGCCGTGACTCAGCTCACGTGATTCTTTGGTGGAGCTCACCCCGAGCTATAAATGCTGATACGTTCATTGCCTTTGTACTGTAGGCCAATCCGTTTCAAAGACGATGCCATCTAATTATCAGAGTTTGTTGGATTGCATGTTCACCCAACGTCCGTGTGGTGACTGCAAACTAGATTCCTTGCTAAAATGTATCTATTTGGTGTTTGAACATCTTAACACCTCCTGTTTTATTTTTCCAGAAAGGGTAAAACTTATTCTTACTTTTTCATAGGATTCACGTGTATGGCAGGTAGCGCATTCTAATGATGCAGCGCATCGAGAACAGTTGAATGCACATATAAAAACTCTTGCAATGACAAAGCGTGCAAAGCCCTGGTTCATCGTAGCCTTGCTATCGCATTGCACACGACAGCCTTAACAATACTAAATATCAAACAATATACGATGCATACACTGTGCACAGTATGTATATACAATGCAAGATATTGTAGTTTGTACAGGATCATTGAGTTTAGTAATCATCAACTTAAGTTGTATTTGTTAAAGTCTGGCAGAATAATGATTTGCTGCTTTTTGTGTGTTTAGTGTTGTGGTCCTTCCCCTGCACCTCCGATTCGCGCGTTTGGCTATGTACGGGAATGTAAAAGAAGTTCAAATACAGAATTACATTTTATACGTAGGCTTTCATGACCAATGTTAAGATTTATATTTCGTGTCTTTTTGGTGAGGTTCTTTCGGTATGTTTTTTTTTAACCTCCACCGCCCTACAGCCAACACATTCAAGTTGTCACGTGGGCAACTTTGCCAATTGATTCATGTTTTTGAAGCAAACAGGAGAATGTTGAAAAGCAAAGTGACATGTTGAGAATCAATAATAGAGGTTTTTCTACTGCTCCATTACCCTTGTCACTGTTCATTGTGTGTCTGCAAATTATTAAACAGGGCCCTCCCCAGAGACACTTTGCAGTGAGCGCGACACGATGGCTGATTCCCTGCGTGATTAACTCACTCTCAGATGGGAAGCGGTGAGAGGCGTAGTGGTAACAAAAAAACACCAGTAAATACTGTCCTGGCTAGGTGACCAAAATAAAGTCATAATCACGAGAGAATAAACGTGACAATTCGCCGTGGGTATGATCTTGATCTGCGAGTGTTCGACGATGGCGGTGGCACGACGCCTCCCGGCTCCTCGGACCGTTGAGAATGTTCTGCTGCGACGTTCCGCCGGAGATCAACTCCAGTGCCATCGGATGTTAACACCTCAGCTGGCACGAGAGCTGAGGTGAAAAAACAATCAGTGGGAATATTTGCCGACGTGACAAGTTGATTTTATTCGCTCCGCCATATGGCGGAGGATTATAGCTACAAAATTGACATTGTACCGACATGATGACTTCACGCACATTTACAACGTATTATGAGTCACAGTTTCCATGCTGGTGGTTTCACGTCGAATTTACTGCGCATACTACAGTACTCGCTATCTAAAGAAGACTCGTGTTAGTGACATTGCGCTTTCGGCTTTTCGCAAACCGTCACTGGCAGCTGCCGTGTGTTGTAACAGCGCACTCCGCCTTCAGGCGTTGTAACAGCGCACTCCGCCTTCAGGCGTTGTAACAGCGCACTCCGCCTTGAGGCGTTGTAACAGCGCACTCCGCCTTCAGGCGTTGTAACAGCGCACTCCGCCTTCAGGCGTTGTAACAGCGCACTCCGCCTGAAGGCGGCACCTCGCGCGTTTCCCGTGCGCCCACCCGCCGGCCGTTCTCCGTTCCCCCTGCGGTCGCTTTCTGTGTGCAGAGCGGGGCGCGGGAGCGACGCGGCCGCGAGCCACGGCGGGTGGCGGCGATCCCGACGCGAGAGCCACGGAGCCGGCTGCTGCAGGCGGGCGGCTCGGCTGAGGACGCCGACCCCGGGGCTGGGGCAGGCGGCGACGACGGCCGTGGCCGCCTACCAGAAGATTTCTTTGGAGAAGGGTGCGTCGTGACCGAAACCGTTTGCGCGATGACTCGTTTGCTTTCGGGCTCTTCGGTGATCTGTCTTTTGTAAAGAACCTCTCGATAAAAAAACAACGTACGTGAAGGTGAAGAAGACGTTAAATACGGCATGGTGTGTTGTTTTCAGAGCAAGATTAAGGCGGTGGCTTTTTTCTGGCGCTTGCGGCGTTCATTGCGCATTGCAGCCGCTGCTTCTGCTGCTCCATTACGCTTGTCACTGTTCATCGCGTGTCTGAAAATTATTAAACAGGGCCAAACCAAGAGACACTTTGCAGTGAGCGCGACACGAATGGCTGATTTCCTGCGTGATTAACTCACTCTCAGATAGGAAGCGGTGAGAGGCGTAGCGGGGAAAAAACCCCACCAGTAAATACTGCACTGGCTAGGTTACAAAAAATATAGAATTACAAGAGGATAAATGTGAAAATTCGCCAAGGGTATGATCTTGATCTGTGAGTGTTCAACAATGACGGTGGCACGACGCCTCCCGGCTCCTCGGACCGTGCCAGGCACTGTGCACAAGAGCCGGCGAGATGACAGGCTCGGGTACGCGGAGCAGCGCACACGGGCATCCTTGAGCCCAAATCGGGGGAGAGCGACGCGATTGTGAATGTGAATATTCATTAGCAGCTTCTCCAGCGTGCGTTAACATTCAGAAGCAGTCTAGCGGTAAGCCACCCACCCCTCCTTTCATAGCCACAGCCCAAGACCGCAGTCTATTCACAATCCACCACTGTGCTGTACAGAGAACCCGAAAAGTGCTGATTATTATTCTAGCACCACACGTCACACATGAGTGATGTGTATTTCTTTATTTCTTATAATCTCGCATAAAAAACGTTATCACACTATCACATGGTAAGTGTTATTTTTTTCGTAATCCAATTTACGTCTTGGTGTTTACCATACGTCAAAGTGATTTTCTGCTCAAATGAGCATTGAGGAGGTGAGGTCATCTTGGATTTTACGACCCTGAGCCAGTTGTGGAAATTACACATTCCTATGGCGGGGGTGAGTATCCTTAAGAAAACCACTAATTGATTTCCCCACAAAGCGGTATCCTATTTTATCGGCCTAGGAGGGATGATGGATTGAATCAACCTGAGCAACCAGGATTTGAATTCACAACCTTTGTGATTGCAAGCCACCCACTCTACCGCTGAGCCACGTGGCTGGTTTGCCTATTGATGTGCTGCCTATGGATGTGCCGCCCGTGTATTTATGGCGAACGCAATTGTTAGCTCCTCACACCGACCTGCGTAAACCCGAGATAGCTCCTACGAAGGTGACTGCGAATGGTTTAAGTCTCAGGACGCCTCATACAAACCGGAGTTTCAAAGGTGGCTCCTGTGTTTCCCAAGCGTAGAGAAGACAGAGCAACAATTGCGGTGAAGAAGATACAAAGATTTGTGCGGGGCGGCCTTCCAGGCGTCCACGCAGGTATCATGGCAGGTGATGTCATGATAATGCGCCTGGCCTAATTCGGATTGAGACCTCTGCCACCAACTGGGAACCCAATTATGTCAATTACTCCACCCTCTTCACAGCCTCGCCGTTACTCACGAAGAGGGGGGAGCTCATTGATGGCACTACCAGGTTAGCTGCCGTGTTTTCGGTGGGACCGATGGCAAGGTTTCCACATCTTCACAGGCAAGCTGCACGTTCAGCAGCGAGGGGGTCTCCAACTCCTTATCAGGATAGGCAGCAATTGCCAGATCACCCGTGACGCAACATGTGGTTAACCATTCGGGAGCCATCGTCCATTGACCACAGCTAGCCATCGAGCAGTCTTCCATTGATTCTGTTCCAGAAGAGAAAAAACATGGTACAGTCATACTATGGGAACCTCATTTGCCAGTAAAAATATGATAATTAGTTTTTTACCCTTCTATCTGGCAACAAAACTGACACCTTTTTACAAGGAGTCATGTTTGCATAGACCGCAATACCTGCAGTCATAATACAAACAAAAAACATAACTCTGATAATGTGCACTGTCCTTGAAGTTGATTGGTCCACACCCGAGACAGCTTTCCTTAGTGCCTAGTCTCACATGGGTTGGACCAGATGACGCCAAAAGGCGCACAACTCAAAGACAATGCACCATCAGAGTATGAGAGCTCAGGGCAAGCATCTACACTATGGGAACCTCATTTGCCAGTAAACATATGATGATTGGTTTTTTACCCTTCTATCTGGCAACAAAACTGACACCTTTTTACAAGGAGTCATGTTTGCATAGACCGCAATACCTGCAGTCATAATACAAACAAAAAACATAACTCTGATAATGTGCACTGTCCTTGAAGTGCATTGTCTTTGAGTTGTGTGCCTTTTGGCGTCATCTGGTCCAACCCATGTGAGACTAGGCTCTAAGGAAAGCTGTCTCAGGTGTGGACCAATCAACTTCAAGGACAGTGCACATTATCAGAGTTATGTTTTTTGTTTGTATTATGACTGCAGGTATTGCGGTCTATGCAAACATGACTCCTTGTAAAAAGGTGTCAGTTTTGTTGCCAGATAGAAGGGTAAAACAGCAATTATCATGGTACAGTCATGCGAAGCTTCTCGAACTCCATGGTCAAACACAGTTGTGAATAAGTGTTGAAGCTAAAGAACGTCCCTTATGTACCTGCAAGTGCACAAACAGCTCTTACTCCCAGCCAAGTGACTTTACCAATCCAAAAGCCCTGGTCTGTGAACATTCTTCTAGGCCTTCATCAGGTCTTTGACGATGTGCCGTGGTGAATGTAACCAGACGCGAACTGCGTTGACTTCCACATGAGTTAGAGGACAAAAAACAATCCAGCTCCCATGTACTTCACAAGTTACGTATTGATTGTGTAACTTGATGTCACTTTATAAAAATGTTAAACTACATTGCTGCGCCCATTTATCCCGACCCCATACTATGAGGTAGACTTTAAATTTTGACTTAAAACTTTCGTGATTGCAGTGACTTTACCGAAAGAACCAAAGAATAGGTAGACTTTACTTTGTGGAGTTGCCTCGATTCATAATTCGTGTGTCGCGGTGTCCTTACATGCCCAAGTGAATTCACATCTTGTGTGTTTCCTCTCAGCCCCTTCAGATTATCATTTCAGTGCCGCTTCAAAGGTCTGTGTATGCTCCTCGGGTTTTTGCACTCATGGAATTGGGGACGTGCACTCATTTCGTCCACACGTTAGGGAGTACCGGTTTCCAATGAGGGTCCTGCAGGTGACGCTTGGTCATTTGGGTTTGCATACGAGGTCTGAAGATTATGACTCTTTGCTGCTCATGTGAATGCCACCAGCCCCCATGGACTTTCTAAAGTGGCGAATGAGAGCCGCTTATATAGAGCCATGGTGGTTACATCGCCGTTACTGCGATTTGTGTGGATCGTGATGTAAATGTCCAGCGATTTGCCAATTTGATGTTCTCTTACAAATTACCATCCTCGATTCAATGACCGTGGCTAAGATCAGTGGCGAGCGATATCTAAACCGATCCAGGGCGCTTACCACCCCCTTCACCAACGCGCACTGCTGGCCGGCTTGATGGACACTGTTTTAATGGGCAAATGCGCACCACCATTACAAATGACAGGAGGATGTCCTTTTCGTGTGGCGCTGCATGCAATGGCTTCGTCCCACCCCATCTCCATAATTCTGTGCGACAGTGTTTCTGCTCACCAAAGCAAAAAGTCACCACACTCGTGGATTTGAACGTACTCAATGTCCGTTCTAGAAATACAGTGTGAATGACTTAACGATACACAGCCACAGCAGCAATATAAGTTTCCCGCATAACCTCATCCCATCCACCGCATTCATTTTTTTATATAATTTTTTACAAACTCTATTCGGGAGGTAGGGGGAGTAGTGCATTGGTTGAGCGAATTGCGCTGTAAACCCGGCGAGCTAAATTCGATCCCCCGGCCGTGGCCAACACCATCGTGCGAGTGACGTTTGAACCGGTCCCTCAATAACCCGCCCCCTTCAGCGACCCTCACTGACCAGCGCGTTGAAGTAGGGTTAAATAATTCCCATGACCGGTGTGGTTGACAAAGGGCCCGACAATCCTTGTTTAACAATTATGAGAAAACTGCAATAAAGCAGTTCACATTTAACTACATTTGCACAAAAAACTCATATGTAGAATGTTGAAAACACTTCCAGGGCATCTGCAGAGACATATTGGAAACCGCTGCCCCCTGGCATTCACCCACGGCTTTGCCTGAGCTTGCAGCCTGCCGCGTCTTATGCAACGGGGTTGTGCGCTCACTCTCTGACGATTGAGCGGGGGGAACGGGTGTGTGCTGTGGGCAACCACTCTTGCAGTTGTGCTGCTCGTGGATTCACGAGCCTTTGACGCACAGCACGCGCTGTTCTTTTTTTCTATCTCGAATGAGATACTTGCTGCAAACATCCGCTGTGTGCGCTGTGCACTATTTTAAATCACAAAATTCCACTGTGCAACGGTGGTGCCCATGCCCAGTAAACTCGGAACGCTGGCCCAACGTTGGGCCAACGTTGGACCTACATTGGACTAACATAGGCCCAATGTTGGGCCTAGGTTGGTTCAACGTTGGGCCTACATTGGACTATCATAGGCCCAACGTTGGGCCTAGGTTGGTTCAACGTTGGTCCAACGTTGGGCCTACATTGGACTAATATAGGCCCAACGTTGGGCCTAGGTTGGTTCAACGTTGGTCCAACGGTGGGCCTACATTGGACTAACGTAGGCCCAATATTGGACCAACGTTGGTCCAACCAAACGTTCCAACGTTGCCCCAACGTTGGCACGTGTCCTGGATGACCCTTATAAGCAAATCAAAAGCACTGCGAGCATTTGTAAGTACATTGTTGAAGGCACAAACAAACGTTGGAAATAATCTAGATTTCATTGTCAAATTTAGCAAGAATTACATTACAGAGAAAACCTGCAAAGTTACCATTGTATTTGCAGATACTTTATTGGTTAATTGTTTTGAAATGTATCAAATAACTTGTAAGAGTAGAGTAAACCGGCCACTTTTGGCCTAACGTTGCAAGTTCACTGAGACCTCGGTGCACACACCTCTGCATTGTGCTCTCCCGTCGACCCGTCTGCTGTGCCGTAGACAGTATTCGAATGCATCGCACGACTCTCGCAATACTTGAAATTCCTACGGATCTACAGAAGCGCTGCACATTTTAACAAACGTTTGTGTGCTACATATTGGGCAGCTTTACAATGAAAACAAATTCATAGATGGCAATAAGTATTTACAGCTGCTGTTGTACAGTAAACGCGATGTGCATGTGAAATGTATGCTTCGGTGGTAAACATGCAACGTTCGCCCAATGTTGGTCCAACGTTGGTCCAACATTGGGCCAACGGTTCCAATCACATGCCGATGTTGGTGAAACGTTGCATCTTTACTGATTTCCTGTTGATGATTAAATATTAATCATTATGCTTTGAGTAATAGAGTACTCGTTTTAAGATGCAATCAAGCAGGCATGCTGATGACACAGATCATCTGGACCATGATAAAATGAAAATAATTATCATAAATACATCACGACATCCTGAAGTGAGCAGGCTTTGTGTCATTTAACAGAGACACCAGCCACAGAAACTCGTGCAGATGCCGGTGTAAAGCCAGGCCATGACATTGAGATGAATACCGCCCACCCTCTGGAAGCAGATGTCACTTCCAGCAAGGGAAAGGAGGAAAACCCTCTCCCAAAGAAAAGCGAAACTTGTTCATTTGCTGAAGTGCCTTCCGGTCGAGAAGAAGAAGAGCGTGAGTTCGCATTGGAACAAGACGCCATGCGTGGATTTAAGACGTCTTCCTTCGCAGGCATTAAAGTAGACACCCGTGACGGCGGTGACCTCGAAGGAGCGGCAGTCTCCAGTGAAACCGCTTCCTCTAAAGCAGAGGGCGCTGTAACAAGGGACGGCGTTATCATTCGCGAGCCCGACGTCGCTAAAGAAATTACGATTCCTGATCGCAAAGGCAGAAGCGCAGAAAATGCAGAGGACTTCAAATTGCTGCCAACCATGGAACGAGTCGAAACCACTGAGATCCTGAACCCCACTGAGATCCTGAACCCCACTGAGATCCTGAACTCCACTGAGATGATGAACCCCACTGAGATCCTGAACCCAACGAAAGATCAGAGCTCGGTGGATGAAGGCCAGGGTCCTGCATCGTCTGGATTCACGTGCGATGATGACACGGCCACGCATGACCCAGAACTGTCCACAAACACTTGCGTCGACTCCAACGTGTCGTTTGCTGAGCATCAGGTGCATTCTGTTCATATGGAATCGAACAAAGTCTTTCAAGATAAAGTATGTCTGAATACTAAGGTTGAGAATCGTGACGAATTACATCGATTCCTGGAACAACCGGACGCAGAAATAAACAACAAAAAGGCACCTCCTAACATCATTGTGAGTAACTTAACAGAAGTTCCAAACGAGGAGGAAGAGGAGAATGCTGCTTGTGTTGTTGAATCTTCAGTGCACTCTGATGGATTCTGTGAAGAGCAGTTTGAGGGACCTGACTCTGAGAGCGAATGCCACGGGAAGGCTCCAGCTGCGGACAAAATCCCCGACGATTGCGAAGTGTCGCACGACACCTCAGAGGACGCCCATCACGCAGCGGACGGACCGGCGGCACTCTTGCCCCAACGTCACACCTCACCTCCGTGCTCCGCAGCTGGCGATGGAACCAAGCGTGACGGCGAGTACCTGTCATTCCACCAGGAGTACAGTCGGCAGTCTTCTCAGGATATACCAGAAATACTTGAACTGAGTCGTGAGGAGTACGTCCCACAGTCACCTCCATCCTCTTGCCCCCCAGATAGCGACGCCAAGGAAGAACACAGGTTCGTACCCGAAGTTACGAGTGCCGGCGATGAGAAGCTTTCAGAAAACAGCACTTACCCTGACCACTTTATCACCGAGTATCCCACAGGAGCTTCTCCCGAATGCTCGTTCAGCAGCAACTACTCGGCCACCTGCCCTGCACTGTCACCTCCAAAAAACATTGGCCCTGAAGTGTCTACAGTTGATTCGTTTTTGGCCCCCATTGATGTGCCCGAGCCTGAACATGAAGCGGACAAGTATGAAGATCTACCAAAGCAAGAATCCAGTAATGAAACTGCAGAGGGAACTGAAGACAGTGTTCATTTAAAAATCGAGGGCAAGGAGAGTCCTGCGGAAGGGGCGCACGTGACGCCGCCCGATGACCTTGCCCCAGCACCCCGCGAGCACGCAGAATGCTTGGGGGGATCGGCCTTGTCCTCCAGCGGGCGCAAAGCCGAAGGCGAGATGGACCCGGAGACGAAAGAGCAAGCGGTGGCCGCAGTGGTAGCGGCGATTCCTTCGGAAGCAGGCGGTCCTCAGGGGGGGCCGCCTGCCGTGGAACACGTCAGCAGGCATGAGCATGCGAGCGCGGCGGCCAGTTCAGGGGCGCTCAGTCAAGTGGAATGCGCCGCGGCGGTGCCCAAGACGACTTGGCACAAAAGGCCCCTTGAAGTGCCCATCGCCAGTTTAAGCGATGGCACTGACAGTTCACGTAATCTCCGGGGGGGCAGGGTCTGCATCTCACAAAGCGAGGGCAGAGACGATGAGCTTGATAGGCCCTCGGAAACGACGGCCGGGGTCCTGCCGGGTGAACGTAATGAGGGCAGACGTGGTTTGACCGAGACTGTGACAGAATCTGGCGAAGGTAGTAGTAGTGACCTGGACGAGGGAGAATTCAAGTGTGAGCGGGAATCGATGCCTGCGTGCGTTGCTGACATCACAAACGACACATCTGAATTGGAAGACTTTGAAAAAAACGAAAATGCGATCATACAGGACGGAGGCAATGAGGAGGCTGCTTCGACCAATATCATCGACACGTCGGTCACTTCTGAAGCGCGTGGAGGAGATGCGGGACATCTCGTCTCCTCCTCCAGCAGCAGTGATGACGACGACATTGAATCAGAACGCAAAGCCACTGCTGCCGAGTCACTTCAGCGGGAGCGTGCAGTTGCCGACGACCGGCCAGGAGAAGCGGTTGGCGCAGAGGTGAAAAGTGAATTTCCACAGGACCCACCTATGCAAGACCAACAGGTCCCCATGGCAACAGAAGTGGTGGAGTCCGTGATCATGATCGAGGAGGACATCCTCACCGTCATCCAGACGACCACGGTGGAGACGGAGGAGCTCACGGCAGACGAGGCAGACTTCAGCCTGTCCGAGGCACTCGACGAGCCGTCCGAGCGGGATGTGGCAGAGCTGCGAGCCGACAACGCGACGGAGGTGGACGTGGACACGGAGGACCTCAGCGTGGCCACCGACGTCATATTCTCAGATCTATCACTAACTGAAAAGACTGCACGCTGTGACGACCGAGGTAATTGGGCGCCCGCCCGTCCACGGCAGCCACATGCACGCGCACACGCACGTACCCGGGGGGGGGGGGAGGGGGGCATAACCATTCATCGCGGTTCCCCTGGCCGTCCAGCGCAGCATTTTCACGACTTGAATCATGGCGATTCGATTCAAGAACCACTTAGTTGTTGAAATTGTAGTGAAATTATTGGAATTTAGCAGCTTCTAGCTGCTACAGCTATCATATGAGCCTGTTACATACAATATACTGTATATAAATCAAATGTATTGCTTCCTACACACCTAGTCTTTGCATGTCTCATCAGCTTAGAAAATTAATAATCGATGTTAATCGATTAATCATTACACCACCATGTTGGCGTTAACTACCTCGCCTGGTAGACAGGAAGTCGTGGGCTCGATCCCGACCCTGACGCCTGCTGTATATTTGGAGTTTGCATGTTCTCCCCAGTGGTCGCATGGATTTTTTTTCAGGACCTCCGGTTTTTCCCTCCACATATAGAATCAACATCATGTGTTTAGAGTATTTGGCTGCTATAAATTTCCACATGATCAGCCACTTCGTTGAGCTATCATTTGTGATGGCCAGGTAGCTCGTATTGTAACATACAAAATTATTTTTCAATTAAATGTGTCACATTTAATGAATGTCTTAATTGCGTGTCAGGTGGAAATGCCAGAGATGCTGCAACAGAGGCTGCGCGAGGGGATTCCCGTTCGATGCCCGCTCGCGAATTCGCAGCGTGGCAACACGATCAGAGGAAGCCGGTCAAAGCCCTCGATAGAAGAAACAATCCATCGAAAATCCCGAGCTCGCGTAAAAATCAAGACTCCAGGCCTGACCCACAGGACAAGAATAAGAAGAAAGGTTCTCCTTACCATCATAAATATAATTGCGCATTCGCAGCACGTATGTATGCATGTGCGTTGAACTTCTTACGCGCCGTTCGCAGCCAACCGTGAGAATCGGAGGTGTGCGGAGGAAGGACAACAAACTAAACACACAAAAAGCAATTTTTAAGAAATGAGTTTTCAATCCAGCAACGTTCGCCGGTCGTCGATATTATTGTGCGTCAGTTGAGTCGTTGACGGGGGGTTTCGTTGTGCGATTGAAAGCCTGCGTGCGCGTGTCTCTCCGTGTTGCCGACACAAGCATCAGGTAGGAGCGCAGAGCCCACGAAACGAGCCGTCGTTCGTCTTAGAGCGCCCGCCCGGAGGAACGGCGCGGGCGATGCCGAAGTGTCGCACGGTAGACGGAGATCGAAAGGTGATAGACGACGCGTGGGGTCCCCCCCCACCATCGGGTTCCAAAAACGTCGTTGTCGCGTCCTTTCGCTTTCATTTCTTGCATCTCACGAAATCTGTGTTTGTGTTCTGTCAACCCTCCGTTTTATACCGTGCGCCTTCTTACGTTCAATTTGCCTCTCCTGCAGGATTCACCGTGACGCACATTGCCCTGCCGTGGCTTTGTTTACCATGAACCCTGCAGCTCCTTCTGTCTTTAAGTTACAGCAAACGCTGATGTGACAATTCACAAACAGTCGCCACGAGTTTGCGCTTTTGCACGATATTTTCATTTGCCGTGTTCCGAGTGTGTTTTTGTGCTGGTGCGTTTGGGGGTTTATTTGGGTTGACGTTTGCTGTGCTTATTCGCTAATTTTGCCATTCGCTAATTTTGCAATTCACTAATTTCGCCATTCACTAATTTTGCCATTCGATAATTTCTCTCTTTCTGTATGTGCCATGTCCTTTCTAAAAGAAGTCGGATATCATGGACTTTCAACTTAGTTCTGTCCATGATATTATATACTCAAGAAATGTTGCATAATACTCCCAGTTGCAGCCAATTGTTCAAATGTCCGATGCACTTAAGTCGCTGTCTTTCCCGGCTTCTTTTACCTATTATTGTCCCGGTCAAAACATTACATTCAGTCTCTTGTTTTCTCATTACATGCCATAGAAATCTAACTTGCCTTTCTCCAATTATTCTCGTACTTTTTCTGGTTGTGTATCTGCTGCTATCCGTAATGCATGTGTGTTACTCATCGTGTGTCCATGAAAAGTTGCAAATCCTTAAAAAAACACATTCTTGTTGCTTTTAGTTTGCTGATAGGATCTTTGTTATTGTCCAGCTTTCATTTACTACTAATTTACTAAATAGAAGATGTTTAGTTAATGTTCTACTCAAATGAGCATAAAGGCAGTGCTTACCTCCTGTTTACAGCCCAGAGCCAGTGAGGACATTCCCTATTATTAAAGCAGCGCTGTGGTATATCTATAGTAGTATATCTATAGGACAACCACTGTGGACTTCCTCACAAAATTGGTACTTATTTAATCGACCCCAGAGGGATGGTGGGCTGAGTCAACCCCCAACTCGGAGTTTAACTCTTAACCTTTCGACTGTGAGCCACCTGGCTGGGCTGTTTGTTGAAGCAACACATTTATAGGTGCATCCTCTTCGTCGTTCATGCCACCTAGCATCATCTAAATATACGTAACGGGTGCTTTGTTATTTAAAGCAAGAGAAGCTGCATTATGTATCCACGCGATGGTATGTGTTTTTATTAATTAATTAAATGTGTGGTCTTTCTGTAACCTTTATATTTTGTTACTTTTGGAAAGTTACGAGAACGGAAAACTGGCATTCGTCCGGAACAAGCAGTCCCACAAAACACCGCAAGGTAACCTCCCTGCGGGAGTCTCATCAGCTGCACTCGCTCCTCTTCCATCCAACGAGAGAAATTAAACACAATTTTTTTTATTTTACCGGGTAAGGCCCCACTGAGCTACATCGACCTGACGATCACAAATGGATAGCTCAACGAAGTGGCTTATCATGTGGAAATTTACATGAGTAGCTAAATACTCTAAACACGTGATGTTGATTACTAAATGTGGAGGGGAAAAAACGGAGGGACCCGGAGAAAAATCCACGTGGCCACGCGGAGATAGACACGCAAACTCTAAATATACAGCAGGCATCAAGGTCGGAGATCGAACCCACGACCTCCTGCATACAAGGCGAGGTAGTTGACATCTCACCACGCGGGGCCCCGACGAGGGACGAGGTAATGAGGGGGGAGAGAGAGGCTTGCTGTGGCTCTGCCGTGAGTGGGGCTGCGCAATAGCTGTGATAATAATGAGAAGCTCGGAGCAAGACGTTGCTGTACACTTCCAGTCAATAGCATTGAGAGCATGCATGTACAGTATGTCGACCTTCATACGCACCGTACGTGGCCAACCGTCCTAACCGAAGATGTGGGGGAAAGACAACAAGCTAAACACAAGCAGTTCTCAAGAAGTTAGTTTTAAATCCTAATATTGGAAGAACGAGTGGTCCAGACGGCCACAAAAGCAAATCTGAAAGCGCGTGATGCGGTGACCGCCTTTGTTCGATAGTTGAGCCAAAAGCAGCTGCAGCGAGGATAACCGGAGTTTGCGTCATGGTGTATTCTCCTTGACGAGCTCAGTATGAGTTGTACAACGCGGGGTTGTGTAATACAGCATTGTCATCATCGACATCAACAGCCACGATCATGATCGGATATCCCAGATAACATCCACATGTTGTAAACAGCAAGTCAAATCCAGGTGTCCTGCCTGTACCCAGTGATTCACTCCGCCTCCTGCTCCTTAGCCTTACCAGCCGACGCCATGGCTGGTAGAACCAAACCTGCTGCAGATAGGAGGGGGGGGGGTCACAGCTGAACAACCATACTTCATTGCGTTGGTGCAGGTATCGCTTGAGAAGGGAATGGACACAGTGGTTTGTGAACAGTGCTCTTAGCCCGGTGCTTTTCTCCCTCTGGGCGCTCGCTCCACGCCTCTGCATCTTCAAATTCAAAATGAGGCCTCCTCATGCAGGACTCCCAACCTCCATGTCAGGGTCACCGTGGTTTGCGAGATGTTGACTACCTCGCCTGGTGTACAGGAGGTCGTGGGTTCGATCCCGACCCTGCTGCCAGCTGCTGTGTATTTGGAATTTGCGTGTCTCTCTCCCCGTGGTCGTGTGGATTTTTCTCCTGGCCCTCCGGTGTTTCCCTCCACATTTAGAAACGTGCGTTTAGAGTATTTGGCTGCTATAAATTTCCATGATGATGAGCCACTTCTTTTGAGCTATCATTTGTGGCCAGGTTGCTTCTGAAAAAGAGATTTGTACTCAGTGGGCCTTACCTGGTATAATAAAAATAGTTTATTTTAGTTTTCTATACTGTATCATAGAAACCACCATTACATGTTAACTAGAGTGAGAATAAACTTAGATATATTTCTCCGTCAGCCTCGGACTATCAGAGAAGTGTGCAGTTTATTGCAGTAGATCTCACTACAAATCAGTTCCTGCCACCCGAAACCCAAGATGCCATTTCCCAGACTCGGGACAAACCTGGACAGGTGGCAACCCTGATGAGATCACTCTCATTTTCACATGTAAGTACCTATGTTGAACTTCCTTCGCGCTGTACGTAACCAACCGTACTAATCGCACCTTTGATAATCAAGTGACAGGCTGGCATTTGATGGAATGCTGAAACGTCGTGTGCTTGTTATAGAGTTAACTCTGGTTATCCTTGGGCGGATAATTCCGTGTTGTGGATGAACCGCGCTCATTCACACCTTTCACACGCCCTGGTTAATTGACCAACTGTTCCTCACTCGAGGGTGCCCATGTGACTGCAGAAACGTCTGCAAGTAAACCAGTTACTTGGATGAAGCAATGAAAACAGATGGCGCATTCTACATCTGCACCCCCAGTCTCGCGAGCTAGACATTAAATACGCGCTACAACTTCACGTATGCTTTGTATTTCTCCATTATTTAGAGTATTTGGTTGCTATAATTTCCACGTGACAAGCCATTTCGTTGAGCTATCATTTGTGGCCAGGTCGCTTCTGAAATAGAAGCTGATACCTCAGTGGGCTTTACCTGGTAACATTTCATAGTTAAGTCTTTACGTGTAATTTGTTTTAGTGATTTGCTTACCTTTCCTATACTTTTCACTCCTTTAGTATTTTCGTATTATTTGATGTTGTAACGTTCTGACCTCACGCCCCTACTGGACATCTGTGAAAAAAGAGCTTCATAGCTCATCGGATTCCTCCTCCGGCAGTCTAAATCAATATTCTGATCCTGATTCCGATTATCCGGGCCACTGCTGCCCTCCCTCCCACCCTCCAGTTCCCATGATACCGGACAAATCTCGAGTTGGCTGCAAAAGGCAGCGGGGCAGAGCCTAAAGCTGGGAAGAATTAAATGTCTTCCATTTTTACCATTTGTTCCATCTGTGTGCGTCGGCATACAACCCTGCGATGTAACACGTAAAAAAGAAAATGCATTGAAATAATTTTTGAAGATGTGAAACAGTCACTTTTTTTTGTCACACGCTCCCCACAGGCAGGGGTCCTGGAAGAATCATCCCAAAGTCACCCAGGGCACCCACCCAGCATGTCCCCGTCAGCCTACAGAGCCAGCGCCAGGTCCTTCTCGGTCACCCCCAAGAGGCCGACGAGTGAGTAACGGCCCATGACGCTCCGCCAGCACCCCCTCGTTCACGGCTCACGCCCTGGGGTGAAGCGCGTTGAATTGTGCGTCAGTGCATTGGTGTGTATTGAATCTATCACGCGGTGGTGCCGTAGTGTAGCGGTTAGCGCTACGCTGCGCTACGGAACCGGCTACCCAAGTTCGATTCCGGCTCACGGCCAACACCTGTGATGATTGTCTAAATGGGACCTGGGCCTCCACTAGGTCGATTCAGCCTCAATTGAGTATCTGGCATGGTGTGTAAAGATCACCATTTGGGGGACAAAGACAGCCGGGCGTGGTGCTGGCTACCCACCCCCTGGTGTGCCGTGCCAGCCTTCATAGGTGCTCGCTAACAGCACTTGCCCCAACAGTCTGTTCAGGCTATACAGGGGATCTTTGTCTTTGTTGAATATAGAAGGTTGTACAGGGTGTTTTAAAGAGATGGACCCGATTTGAAATCGCTATATCTCTGCAACCATGAACCACCCATGAATGAAACTCTTACCACTTGAAAGGGCGGGGCATAGAGAGGGCGGGGCATAGAGAGGGCGGGGCATAGAGTTTCAAATGATTACCGCTAGATGCCTCTCCCAGTGCACAAACAGCCCCTAGCCTCAGTCATTCGCAAAATGGCAACCCCGCAACACAAGGCGTTTTGCGTTCTGCAGTTCGGCAAGACTGAATCCGTAATTGCGGTGCAGTGTGCGTTTCAACGGCGTTTTGGCATTGATCTGCCAATGTCAAAGAGCATGGTGGCACAAAAGACCGGGTTTTTGTGCCACCTTTAGCAACTAATCTGGATGAGCTCAAAAAGAGAATCACGGCAACGGTGACTTCAGTGGAAGAAGACACTTTGAGAGGCGGTTGGGACGAATTCAACTATCGTCTCGATGTTGTCCCTACAGCAGGCACACATAGAGCATTTATAAAATGGTTAGTAAAACTTGATAACTCATTAAACCGTTTGCAACTTTATGTGTAATTGTAACATGTTGCCATCGTGAAAATACTGCTTTGAAATTGGGTCCATCTGTTTGAAACACCCTGTATACCCAAGGCACACCACGGGAAGGGGAGTAATCAGAATAAAGGTTATTGGGTACTGCATAATATGTACTGTGTATTACCATATCCGCATAATTCATTATAATTTATATTATTACATTACCCCCCCCCGCCCCCTATGATCTTCACACCTGATAGGCACACATTGATCACATCATCTTGCTCTATTTATGAACGGAAGTGGGAAGACTTTCTCACAATTCTGGAAAATTGCCTGATGAAGCTGGTCGTGATCACCAGCTGAGATGTTACAGTACTCAAAGTGTTCTGGGTTGACTCGAATTGTCACGTTTTCTGTTTGCATGACAAACCCTTACAAATTGGCTGTGTCGGATTGTGGCGGGTTTAATGACACATTCATATTTACACGATCTAAACCATAAAACCCTTATTATGAATAATATTGGTTACAAAAGCCTATTACTACGTGTTAAACGGTGTAGAGTCAGTTGTTGCAAAAAGGCAGCAGACGGGGGGGGCGGGGGGGCAAGGTGATCGGTAAAGTGAGTGGATGCCGGGTCATGGTGAGCAGCAGGAATAACAAAGTGGAGGGGGGAGGAGGGGCGGTGAGAGGAGGAATGAGCGGTCCAAGACGTCGGGGACAATCATGGGAGGGGTAAAAAGGGGGAGAGGAGCGAGCATAAGTGAGCAGCTGCACGAAGGAGCAGCGTTTGTGTTTTTTTAGAGAGAGGGATGAACGCTGAGATTTATAAGTGCAAGGGGTGACCAATAAGGCCTGACTTGGTCTTTAACAAGGTAGGGCACCGACGAGGGGTTGACAGGTGTGAATCACGTGACTTGCGGGAGGCTTGAGAGACTGAACGCGACGACGACCGGCAGCGGGCAGCCCCCTTGGATTTAGTGGCTCCTGCCTTCCCTCACAGCAACGCGCGCCCATCCGTTGCACGACTTTTGTAACGGACCTTTGGCATGCGCTGGGCCGATTGCAAATTGCTGAGCGGAATATTTCAGCCCCTGGGCCGATAAGCCGACTTAGCCAAATTGTGGCGGAGTCAAAGGCCGTTTTTGTTTGCTTCTTATTCTTTTGACCTTGTTTGCAATAAAATTACATCTCGAACAAATGACACCTCGTTCAAAACATGCATACTTGGTCACCTTTCATGTCGATTCACTCGCAAACTTTTAGAAAAAACATGTTTGTGCTTAAAAGATTAAGCAAATTAATTGCTGACGCTGCATTGGCACAAGGACAAATTGCAGGTAAACTCAACACATTCATTCATAACACCGTAGCCTTAAAAAAATATAGACAAAAGGTGACGTTTCGGGCGATGGCCCTTCTCTACAGTGCAATGGAGGTCCACCCGTCTCAGCCTTGAGCAGTGCTCTACTGTCCAGCAGCCTTCACCCCGCACGAGCACTCGCCACACTCCCTCCCACCGCAAGCCCCGTGCTCACGTTACGCAGCCTTATAGCTCCTCTCCTTCCGAAACTTCTAGAATCTCTCCTCACCTCCGCCCCAAGTTCCCTCCATCATTCATCCCCCAACCCCCCTCTCTCTCTCTTGACCCCTAATCCTCTCCATTTCCCGTTCTTCCTCTCCCGTTCTTTTCATTTCGAATTTCCTGGCCAATCCCCTGGCGCTTTACTCATCCCCGCACTTTGCCGAGTGGCTGTCCGAGCGGTCAATCAGGGCTCTCCGCCTTTACTTGCTGCTGGCACCGGCCACCAGATTCCGCCTCGTGCCTCCCAGCATCGGTAACTCCTCTGGTGGCCCTTCAACCCAGTGGATTCATCCAGTCTAATATTCCTATAGTCTAAACAACAAAATAGATTCCTAATTAAACACTTTGACCTCACTTAGTGCTCGAGATGCGCTCCTGAAAAAGTGAGCGCTAATTGTCTCGGCCTCGCTGTGCGCTGCGTTGCACCACTATCCGAGTAGATAACCTCGCATTCAATAAACCTTCAGAGCCAGGGTGAACATCCGACTCCAAACGTATTTAATGACTTGAACGAGGTAAAACTGATGGAAAAACACAGCACAAATACAGCATCTATTAATACTTGGAAATATCAATACAGTGCATGAACACTACAGCATCATAACATTGTCTTAGATAACCTGAAACTCAACAATAGATCCTGGATGGACCAAGCACCTACATTAGTACTGAACAGCTATACAAGAGAATAAGCTACTGTGTTAAGTAAGGGCACATCGTGTAATCATCACACTGCACCCCAAATGTACAGCACTACATATAACACTGAACTGTGTATGAGACATTTCGTCATCCTTGCTCTCAAGATCGCAATAAGGTTACATGGGTACAAGTACGACTCGACTTATTCAATTACAAGTAACATTCACAAAAAGGCAAGTTGCAGGCTTCGTTGTTAACTAGGCCTCTTATTTATCATAACAAATTAACTGCATTATAAAGGCATTTACAGCATTATAACGGTAATTATAACATTATAACAGCATTCCCAATATTATGAGAACATAAACGAACTTACAGACAATGCTTCTTAAAGTCCCACAATGAACAGATGCAGCTGCCTTCACTGAGACATTATCTGTGCATCCATTTTGGGGAAAATGTCAAAACTGGGTGGTTTTTAACTTTTGCCGACAAAACTGGATCCCAAATGTCAAAACTGGGTGCACCCTGGGTGGCCAAAAACTTGAGTTTTGGACACTCAGGGTGCACCCAGTTTTGACATTTGTCAAATACACTTGATAATTGTATACTAGCACAGTGTGCCAGCACCCCATTCATCCAAACACTTGGTATTTGTATACTGGCACACTGTGCCAGCACCCCATTCATCTAAACACTTGGTATTAGTATGCTGGCACAGTGTGCCAGCACCATATAACTACACACACTTGATATTTGTACGCTGGCACAGTGTGCCAGCACCCCAACGACCAACATTTCAAGCTACGGCTCGGACTCGGAAGTGAGCTCGGGGCGGGCTTGCGACCAGGCGGGCGCACTGCCACCTTGCGTGATGACCTAGACTAGTGACTCGCGTCAATACCAAACTTTTGGATTGTTGGTTGATGCTACGCGCTACTGTACACCCTTAAATTTGCCATGCATTCGACCATAGCCCGCCAAACGACCAAGCACAGAGACAAAGGCGACGTCCTTGGGAGATGGACCAGCCTGCTTGACGCTCCTGACCATGGTCTCAATGGTGCGGAACAAACCAACGAATGCGCATCTCGTTGATTGGTCAATCCTTTGGCCCACCGTTACGGTGATTGGCGGAAATATTGTGTGAAAAATCAAATTGCTGGCAATGAAAATAGACATATTGTCTCGTGAAAAATTGAAAGTAGACGTATAAACGTGATTTTTCACAAGCATTTTTCACGAAACAGGTGGAGGAGCGGCTCACATTCGAATGGCAACCCTCCACCCCAAGAAGACTTTTACCACGCGCCGCGAGGCCATCCACGGCATCCAAGACTTTGCTTTGCAACAAGGCAAGCGCGCGGTCCTTGACCTCAAGCGAAGCGGCGGACGGCACGTTGCCATCGTCTGCTCTAGTTCAACACCTTGTTCCTTCAAGGTGAAGCTGACGAAGCTCACGGGGGAACGACGCGGCTTCCGCGTCTCGGCGCTGTGCACGGATCACCACGGCTGCACGGGCACTACCAAGATCACGCAGCGCCAAGTGGAGGCGAACACGACAGCCCGTTCGGCCTTTCGCGCCAACCCCCGTACCTCCGCACCGACTGTCATTGCCCAGGTCGCCGACGTTGCTCGCGTCATTGTCCCGACCCGGATGATGTACCGCGCCAAGAACACGTGCATCGCGGCGAACGAGAGTGCGGCCCATGCAGGCTTCGAGTTCATCAACTCGCTGGTGGAGACGTTCGGCAAGCTCAACGCGACGACCTGCAGTGTGCGAGAAGACGCGGGCATCTTCTGGGGTGCGTTCATCTGCAACCCGATCGCACGCTCGTTGCAGCCAAGTCTTCAACGCGTCGTCGGCATCGACGGGTCGCACATGAAGGCGCGCGCCTACAACGGAACCATGCTCGTCCTCGTTGGGCGCGACGGCAACAACCGCAACGTCCTTCTCGCCGTGGCGCTGGTCCGAGACGGCAGCGGCCTACGACTGGTTTCTCAACTGCTGCACGACCAACGACATCGAGCTCGACGGCACGCCGGTCTTCTGCGATCGTGGCACGGGCATCCTAGCCTCCGACTGGAAGGACCTCATGCTCATCCACTGCACGCGGCATTTGATCTGCAACGGTGTGGACAACATCGGCTCCGCGTTCACGCCCGACCTCCAAGGCATCATCTACGATGCCCAAGGGTGCGCCTCCGAGGCCGCGTTCCGCAGCTCCTTGGGCTGCTTGGGCGTAGCTCTGCCTGCGGCGGCCACGTACTACAACAAGATCGACCCCCACACGTGGGCGCTCTACCCGCACCTGCACACGACGCCATTGTACGGCTGGCGCACGACGAACTTTGTGGAGTCCACGAACAGCGAGGCCCTGCCGGCTCGCGAGATGGACCCCTTCCACTTCCTCATGCACCACATGGAAGACATGATGACGACGGCCTTTGCCCACCGCAGCGACGCCGAGAAGTGGGCCGCTCAAGGGCGTGTCATTACGCCGTACGCTCAAGGACTCATCGACGCTCAGCAGGCGTTGGCCCCGAGGTACAAGGTCTACGAGAGTACCTCGACGCGTGCATACGTCAAGGATCCAGACGCCTACGCCTCTGCCAAGCGCCGAGTCGATCTCAGCTCTCGGTCGTGCACGTGCGGGTACATGAAGCAGATGGGCTTGCCGTGTCGGCACTACATTCGTGCCCTCATGGCGTTTGGGCGGATGCCCGAGCTCTACGACGCATGTGCGGTGTGTTACCAAGTCTCTGCCATCAACACGACATGGACCTCGGTTGCCGGTATCGAGCTGCCCATTGCCGAGGAGCTGCAACGCGACAACACCATGATGCCACCTCCTCGCCAGAAGAAGGCTGGCCGCCCGAAGAAGCGTCGGATTCGCAACCGTGGCGAAGGTGGCCCATTGGGCCTCACGCGGTGCTCCTTCTGTCGCGCCAAGGGCCACAACAAGCACTCTTGCCCGTCGAAGTAGTTATATATATGTAACAAACATGTTTTGTTCTAAGTGTGCAGCACCATACTTCTCGACGCAAACACTATCTACCGTTGTTCTACTGTAGTAGGTGTAGCATGCAAGCTGGCACACTGTACCAGTATACAAATGGCAAGTTCGTGTATGTTCGCGAGCTGAAAGTGTTACTGTAGTTGCAAGCTGGCACACTGTGCCAGTATACATATGGCAAGTAAGTGTTACTGTAGTAGCGAGCTGGCACACTGTGCCAGTATACAAACGGCAAGTAAGCGAGCTGGCACACTGTGCCAGTATGCAAACGGGAAGTTTGTGGTGCAAGGTATGGAACATGAGCCACGAGAACATCATTTGGAACGCTCTAAATCTGTGGCGACATATGGATGAATAACGCAAGAACCTAAACGTGTACAAAATGATACATTAAATCGTACACCTTCTTCACCCAGTTTTGACATTTGTCCACATTGAACATCACCCAGTTTTGTCATATCAAAAAGCACCACCCTGTTTTGCCTGTCGTTTTCCAAGACCACCCAGTTTTGACATTTGGGATCCAGTTTTGTCGGCAAAAGTTAAAAAACCACCCAGTTTTGACATTTTCCCATCCATTTTGTACTCTGTGTAATGGCTGAAACTCTGCCGCGTGGCTGAGAGGCTGTCAAATCATAACTTCCTGGTCACGTGACCAAACTCAACCTCAAAACAGGAAATTCCTGTTTACACACACCCCCACTCCTGCCGTGGAGCAAAACACCTGCCGTGAGGCAGCGCTAAAAGGGGATGCGTTCTGGACCGCGTAAATTTCCTACATATCAGCAATATGTGTGGATTTCACTGGAGTATAAGTAATAGTGCTAATAATAAACATGGTCAGCATTATTTTATATTTTTAAATAATATATTATAATTATAATTATCTATGTATGTTGGAACTTCTTTATCACCGTACGTATCCAAACGTGCTAATCAGTTGGCTACATAAGCAAAATGCATGTTTAACACGTTGCAGGCTTTCGCGGCCAATATCATCCATAATATGGGTTTTTGGGTTAGATCGCGTACATTTATGCGATCTAACCCAAAAACCTCCATTATGAATATGCATTGTACTCACCAGTGCATCCACTCATCCGCCTCGACCTGCCCCATAGCTCGCATTTTAGCATCCAAGGTGATTCTTTCCCCTGACACTTTGGTCACATTTCCAGCACTGACACTGTGCATGCCTTATTTTTTCAGACATTATGGGCTCACAAAAACACGCGGAACTAAGGCTGAGAGGGAGAGACCCAGGCAGAGTAAACGGCGCTGCTTGGCTCAGAGAGCGTGCGTCGCTCTCAATGGCTGAGAGAATGTTAACAAAGCGGGCAGCCGGTGCGTTTCCTCAACGCCGCTGCGTGTTCTCACTCGTGAGCGCTTTTTAGATTTTTTTTCTTCTCCAGGACAAAGAGCGCTATAACGAATCAAGAATTCTACGAGGGAGTGCTAAGTGAGGTCTGCCTGTACGGCAGTGGAGAGCGCCTCTCGTAATCCCTTACAATAGCACATCAAGAGGCTGGAGTGCCCACAACGTCGTCCATTATATTACTTGTAGGGCCACAGTGTTCTTGGCGAGTGTGTTAAATTTGTGTTGTTTGTTTACAAGAGCTATACTCAGTCTCTGATTTCACTTTCGTCTTGTCCTTACAGCATCGGCTCAACGTGTGTGCCTTATCCATTCCGGCATGAACACTGCATCACAGCACAAACATAAAGGCACATGTGGGATTTCTAATGCTATTCCAAAAGTAAGCGAAGTGACTATTGAAGGACCGTGACTGCCAGAAACTCCACGTGGCTCACACACCGGACCTCGTCCAAACCTTTCATCCTCATCGTTCATTTCCATTTACGACGAAGTGCAGAATGAACACCACCTCATTCGAGACCCAAATATTGCACCTCCTGGCTTTGACATCGCTCGTAGACACCGGCAGTGTCCACATCAACCGGCGTCACAACATCAACTGGCCGATGCGCACATAATCTCTTCATAAATAAAAAACGAAAGACACAGGAGTGCGATTGTGGCCATACATCCGAAACTACTGACCATATGGCGAACCACTGTAGTCTGCACTCCTTCAATGGAAGAAAAGCAAACATACACGAACTCTCCCCTGAAGCCCTTTTGTGGCTAGCAGCAAACCTCAACATTGGCACTTAGCTCCTGAGCATATTTCTGCAATATAAATTAATAGAATAGTCAGTGTATCTCGGTTAAGGTCCATTGATCTTAAAAGCTCGTTTTCAATGGCAACCCATTGACTTAATTAGATGTTTAAACAAAACTGTATCGTACACTTATTTTGACTGGCAAGGAAAAATCCGCTATCAGGCATCTGTTGTGATGTGTTTCATTTAAAGAGTAGTCAAGGACTCCTCCAGATGCAGGGCAGCCATGTAGACCGTGTTGACTGGAAAACTTAGCTCATAGGAATTAAAAAAGAAACCAGATATTTATTCCATAGCCAAACTGGAATGTATATACCTTTTCTTTGTATCCTCTCGTTCTAGGTATTAGAATTGATGGGAAAATGAGTGAACCCCGCAAGGTTGCGGTGAGCCTCTACCGCTCCTCTTCCGCGGCAGGTAATCACACACACAGCATACGTGAGCTCTAGGACAAATGTCAACATCTAAACGTTATTCCACTGTTTGCATTTCTGTTGCTGCTGGTGGTGTTGCCGTGCATGCCACTGCTACATTTTTGTTGCTGCTGCTGCTACACAAGCCACCGAGGCTACATCGTTCGGTGAGCTTCACGCCTATACTAGCTGGTAACAGCCACCATCCTGCCACATTTCCACTCGTGAGTCGCCATTTGCCTGTGTGGGCAACGGAGACTGGGGTGGTACGAGTGGCGACTTGAGCAACAACCGCTGTTCAAGTCAAACCCGAATACGGTTATATTAATCAAGGCTGCCCACAAGCCTAAATCTAAGCAAAATGTCCTGCTCGCCGAGCACGCCCTGGACAAACTAAAAGTAAACTATTTTTTTTATTTTACCAGGTAAGAGCTACTGAAGCTATGTAGCTCTTTTTCAGGAGCGATAAATGATTGCTCAACGAAGTGGCTTATCACGTGGAAATTTAAAGCAGCCGAATACTCGAAACGCATGTTGATTCTAAATGTGGAGGGAAAATCGGAGGACCCGGAGAAAAATCCACGCGACCATGGGAAGAGAGACACGCAAACTCCAAATATACAACAGGCATCTCCTGTATACGAGGCGAGGTAGTTAACATATCCTTGCCACCGTGACGCCAAAAGTGAGGGGAGAGACGTTCAACTCTACGCTTCTGCCAATCAGATTCCAGCCGATTCTCCGTCATGTCGTGAGATGAAGAAGTTTACATTCGGAACTCACATTAAAGCAAGCATTGCACTGCGTCGTGTCAAGACAACGGCCTCAGAAGTTGATGTCACAGAGCTGCTTCTAAAGGCCCCGCAGTAGCCACGGCCATGTGCGGAACATTTATGTGCGCGGTGTTCTACGTGTGTGCAATTGCCGGAAGAGCATGTGGATGAATAAAAAAAGCAACCTTGAATGTAGAGATTTTATTTTGCACATTGTTCACTCCACTTAAGAACCCAGTTTAATTGTAGATGGCTGCTCCGATTCGAGCAGAAGGTCTCAACGGTACCGAGCTAGCACTTAGTTTAACCGCGCATTACCACGTGGATATCAGGCAACTGAAACTCTCATGTGAATGCGGACAATCGGATCTGCTTGCAGCTTCCCCTGGAATGTCGGTGTGGTTAAGAGGAATGTCGTCGCATTATTATTATTTTGTTCTGCGAATAAGGTGTTGTGATTGTTAGCGTCTATGCATAGCTCATCACTATGCCAGCACCTTCGTGTGTGTGAGCCATACTGTGTACATTGCCAGTAAGCTGTGACATGAGGGCAGCAGTGGCAGCGTAGGGTAACTAACGCACATTGAGTTATTGGGTGGCACGTGGCTGCAGTCCAGCACTTCTGGATTCAGTGAGTGTTGGTGGATCCCTCCCTTCCCATCAGCATCAAGGAGGTGCCATATCCTGGCTTTCAATGAGATGGCGATACAGAACAATGTGGATTTCCTTTTGACTTAAAGTTTTCGTGACTGCAGGATTTCATATTCAACAACTTCATACATGTTTTGATCGCAACACAAGCGTTCGTCATCAAGACGAACGCTTGTGTTGCGATCGAAACGTCGTTGTTTTTTGTATTTTCTTTGAACCTATCTACGTGACTTTACCGAAAGACCCAAAGAAAAATGTGGATTTCCACCTGTTCCATATGTGTGGGATTAAGTGTCCCCCCCCTCGCACGTGTGAGTTTACCCTGGGTGCTCGGTTTCCTCCCACATGTAAACGCTCATCAATTAGCCGACAACAACTTCATACATGTGGCTGCCTTCCGGCTAGGCCGCGGTTCCTCCTCACACCTCTTGAGTCATGTGGCGTATTACAAGTGGAAACTCTTACACTTTCCAACACTTTCATTTGTGTGGCTTTATTTGGACAATAACTGACAAAACGTAACTTTTGTGTCGAGTCTGGTAATCCGTTCGATGGCATCGGGAGTTGCTTGATATATAGCATTCGTATATATCTCCTGTGTAAGCGTGTAAAGAGGCCAGTGGTCAGTTCTGTGATGAGCATATCACACTCCACCACGATCGCAATCGGGCCACTCTCTCATCTTCCATGTGCAAGCGAGATAACCGCACCCTGTTGTGTGCTGATCGAACGTGATGAGCTCACCGCGCCATCGCCTTCTACACAGGTTGACGCCAGCCCATTGCTGCGTCGGGTCTTCGCCATCTGTGAGTGAGTTCACATTAATATTATAATTCTATTTTACTTATCGCCATTTCCTTCCCCGTTCAAGGCGCGCTCGCGATCCGCAGCAAGCCCACGACTCCCAGCGCGTGCGACGAAAAACTGGGGACGGCCACGGCGCCGAACACCCCGGGCACGCCGAGGGCCGTCCCCCCGATGGCCCCGGGCACCCCGCGGGCGCTGCCGCCGCGCTCGCGCACCCCGACCGGCCTCCGCTCGCAGCAGTCGAGCCTGTCGCTGCCGCTGGAGAGGCGCGCGATCGCCGTCGTGCGCACGCCGCCCAAGTCTCCGTGCCTCTCGCGCGGTCAGAGCCGGCCCCTCTCCGCGCCACTGCCTGACCTCAAAAACATCAAGTCCAAGGTCCACTCGACTGAAAATCTCAAGCACCAACCTGGGGGCGGCAAGGTAACCGTTGGCTCAGGGGGCAGGGATCCGCTGCTGCCATTACCGCCAGCACCTCCTCCGTGGCTACAAATTTCGGTCAATAATATTCTGATGCGAACTTTGAATGGAAAATTTAAGACAAGCAACGGCAGTGTGCGTTTAAGCACGTAGCAGGGCTTTCACGGCACGGTGTTAATTAGTACGAATGGTTTTGTGGGTTAGATCGCGTGATGTAAATGCGTCGTTAACCCACTACCACCACCAGACACAGCCAATTAGTAAGGTTTGTCACGTAAACAGTACCTGCCGATTAGGTACTACTTCAGCACACCAGTGTGTTGGAGAGTAAACCCACTTGTAAGTGTTGTGGGTTTACTCTGGTGGTGGGTTAATGACGCATTTATATTCACGTGATCTAACCCACAAAATCCTTTATCAACAGTAGTGCGAATGTGGCCATACAGAGCAGACTGCGTGCCGTATAGTAAACCACTTTAGTTTGCACTCCTTCAAAGGGGGAGGGAAAGCAAAACTACATGAACGCTCTCTCCTGAAGTTCTCTCGTCGTACGCAAGAGTGTGACGGAACAGCTTGTTTCAGGCAAGGTCTGTTGAGCTCAGAAGGTCCTTTTTCAATGGGGACCCATTTCAGATATCACTGATTGTGTGTTGGCGCATTGATGTGTGTTGACATATATATGAAGCTGTTTACCCGTCAAAACACCATGGGATGGGGAGTAGAGTCATCATAAAGATTGTGGGTTCTGCATAATATGGACAACAAATTGTCATATTAACCTAATACATTATCCATAATACATGTTTTTTGGGTTAAATATATAAATGTCTCGTTAAACCCACCACCATCCGACATAATGTATTATTTTATGATACACTTCTAAGCAGCACTACGTCTGTAGCTATCCGAATGGTTAAAAAAAAAAACTTTTCTCAATTTCGATAGATTGTCTAATTAGTCTTGGCCTGTAGTAACTAGTTTTCCACAGAACTTCAACGTTATAAAAATCAATTGAGTGTCCTTGTTGGCACGTGTGTTCTGCCACTGCCAACAGTTGTATTTGGGAGTATTTAATTTATCTTTGGTGTTCTTTTAGTCTCGTGCTGATCATTCGTCCTGGTTTGCCAAACATAGCGTTTGCCACAAGTGCAGGGAATCCGGTACACACCTTCTGTTGATAGGTTCGCTAATACAATATAAATTTCTGTATTTTATGTACCGTGCCAAATCTGACTCGAATGTTTTGTTTTTACAAACATCTGGATCATTTACTCCCGCAATGTTCGGTATTGTAATAGTTTAAATTAATTTTAATTTTGGAGCTTTCGTGACTGCAGGAATTATTCTTTGGTTCTTTCGGTAAAGTCATGTAAACAGATAAAATAATAAATTAAATAATAGCATACGACGTTTCGATTGCAACACAAGCAATCATCATCAGGTATAAATGAAATAGCAACAAAAAATCTAACCAGAAAACTATAGACAGACATATAAGCAGACATATCACCAAGATACATAGAGAGAGTAACACAGGTACAGAGAGGGAGATCGTCTCTGTGGGTGGCCTTAAATAGACAGAGGGGGGCGGAGGCAGAGAGAGGGAGGGGTTAGAGAAAAAATTTACATGTCAATGAGTGCGAAGAACGCGTAGTAAAGTACGCAGGCTTGAACATTAGGAGAGAGGGAGAAAGGACACACTAAATTAAATAACCTAGCAAAATATCGAAATGTTATGTAATACAACACAGAGAGTCGGTCAACACACAATTAACGCATAGCCTGGTCGATTACGTATTTCAAAGATTGCTAAGTTAGAATTTAAGTGTGAAAATTCCAAAGAAAGACAAAACATAAAAACAAGAGGAACGGAGACACACAGACAGAGCAGAACATAAGAACGACAAAAAACGAGTGTATATTTAGTGTACTTTTTTCTGTCTACACTCGTGTGCCGGGTTCATGGGGCAATGCATCAACACGTGAACCATTGCACCACGAATATTGGGAAGATCCAAAACTAATTATGCTTTTCAGATATATCTTAGTTGTAGGACATAGTTTTAAGCAAGGTAAAGGTGCAGCCCAGAAACATATTGATCATGCCACCGCTGGCAGGAGGACCTCCACAATGCACTCAGCAACGTGGCTATGAAGTGCAGAAATTATAGGAACTCGTTCACGGGAATTGTTACTTGTCCAGACTCTATCGATGTCACTGCTAAATAAAACAGAAAAATTGAGAATCAATATATCGATTGACTTGTAACTCCTGGAACCATTTAAACACAATTGTTATTGTACTCCAATTAAAATGTCCAATCGGCCAATCGGAACACGATCTGACGTTGCTCGCGTCACATTCCGGCTAATCCGATTGAAGTTTAGAAGAAGTTCAGAAGTTAATTTCCTGAGTGAAGGGGCCACACGGCTCTTCTTGAAGGGCGACTCGGCCAGCAGACAACAGAGGCGGCAGCGCGACAAGTTATACATGCCCTTAAAAGTATCTAATACCAACAATATTTTAAATATAAGCATTTCTACTAATGTCTATATACAAATCTGATTGGTTTAGTTTGTCTACAACAACAGGGAAATTAAAAGTGTGTTGTTCGGAAAAATGGAAGGAACACGAAAGAGAGGAAGACCTCATAGAGAATTTCTTAACAATGACATCATCAAAGATTGGTGCCAGAAAAATGTGGCACTACTTGAGCCATATTTGCACAAGACGGAGGAAAGTGGAAACCAGTGACAAAATGTGCAGTGGACACCTACGGGTGATCTGCCCATGGATTGTGATGGTGATTGTAAACTTTGATTGATGGAACCACTTCTGGTTTTCTATGGCACACTGCTGCCTGCGTTTCTACAGCTGTACATCATCCCACTCACACAGCTGTCTGTGTTTCTACAGCTACACATCATCTCACACTCACCTGTCTGTGTTTCTACAGCTACACATCATCTCACACACACAGCTGTCTGTGTTTCTACAGCTACACATCATCCCACACACAGCTGTTTGTGTTTCTACAGCTACACATCATCTCACACTCACCTGTCTGTGTTTCTACAGCTACACATCATCTCACACACACAGCTGTCTGTGTTTCTACAGCTACACATAATCTCACACACACAGCTGTCTGTGTTTCTACAGCTACACATCATCTCACACTCACAGCTGTCTGTGTTTCTACAGCTACACATCATCTCACACTCACAGCTGTCTGTGTTTCTACAGCTACACATAATCTCACACACACAGCTGTCTGTGTTTCTACAGCTACACATCATCTCACACTCACAGCTGTCTGTGTTTCTACAGCTACACATCATCTCACACACACAGCTGTCTGTGTTTCTACAGCTACACATAATCTCACACACACATCTGTCTGTGTTTCTACAGCTACACATCATCTCACACACACAGCTGTCTGTGTTTCTGCAGCTACACATCATCTCACACACTCACCTGTCTGTGTTTCTACAGCTACACATCATCTCACACACACAGCTGTCTGTGTTTCTACAGCTACACATCATCTCACACACTCACCTGTCTGTGTTTCTACAGCTACACATCATTTCACACACAGCTGTTTGTGTTTCTACAGCTGCACAACATCTCACACACACAGCTGTCTGTGTTTCTACAGCTACACATCATCTCACACTCACTGCTGTCTGTGTTTCTACAGCTACACATCATCTCACACACACACAGCTGTCTGTGTTTCTACAGCTACACATCATCTCACACACACAGCTGTCTGTGTTTCTACAGCTACACATCATCTCACACACACAGCTGTCTGTGTTTCTACAGCTACACATCATCTCACACACAGCTGTCTGTGTTTCTACAGCTACACATCATCTCACACACACACACAGCTGTCTGTGTTTCTACAGCTACACATCATCTCACACTCACACAGCTGTCTGTGTTTCTACAGGTGCACAACATCCCACACACAGCTCTCTGTGTTTCTACAGGTGCACAACATCCCACACACAGCTGTCTGTGTTTCTACAGCTACACATCATCTCACACTCACAGCTGTTTGTGTTTCTACAGCTACACATCATCTCACACTCAGAGCTGTCTGTGTTTCTACAGCTACACATAATCTCACACACACAGCTGTCTGTGTTTCTACAGCTACACATCATCTCACACACACAGCTGTCTGTGTTTCTACAGCTACACATCATCTCACACACACAGCTGTCTGTGTTTCTACAGCTACACATAATCTCACACACACAGCTGTCTGTGTTTCTACAGCTACACATCATCTCACACTCACAGCTGTCTGTGTTTCTACAGCTACACATCATCTCACACTCACAGCTGTCTGTGTTTCTACAGCTACACATAATCTCACACACACAGCTGTCTGTGTTTCTACAGCTACACATCATCTCACACTCACAGCTGTCTGTGTTTCTACAGCTACACATCATCTCACACACACAGCTGTCTGTGTTTCTACAGCTACACATAATCTCACACACACATCTGTCTGTGTTTCTACAGCTACACATCATCTCACACACACAGCTGTCTGTGTTTCTGCAGCTACACATCATCTCACACACTCACCTGTCTGTGTTTCTACAGCTACACATCATCTCACACACACAGCTGTCTGTGTTTCTACAGCTACACATCATCTCACACACTCACCTGTCTGTGTTTCTACAGCTACACATCATTTCACACACAGCTGTTTGTGTTTCTACAGCTGCACAACATCTCACACACACAGCTGTCTGTGTTTCTACAGCTACACATCATCTCACACTCACTGCTGTCTGTGTTTCTACAGCTACACATCATCTCACACACACACAGCTGTCTGTGTTTCTACAGCTACACATCATCTCACACACACAGCTGTCTGTGTTTCTACAGCTACACATCATCTCACACACACAGCTGTCTGTGTTTCTACAGCTACACATCATCTCACACACACAGCTGTCTGTGTTTCTACAGCTACACATCATCTCACACACACACACAGCTGTCTGTGTTTCTACAGCTACACATCATCTCACACTCACACAGCTGTCTGTGTTTCTACAGGTGCACAACATCCCACACACAGCTCTCTGTGTTTCTACAGGTGCACAACATCCCACACACAGCTGTCTGTGTTTCTACAGCTACACATCATCTCACACTCACAGCTGTCTGTGTTTCTACAGCTACACATCATCTCACACTCAGAGCTGTCTGTGTTTCTACAGCTACACATAATCTCACACACACAGCTGTCTGTGTTTCTACAGCTACACATCATCTCACACACACAGCTGTCTGTGTTTCTACAGCTACACATCATCTCACACACATAGCTGTCTGTGTTTCTACAGCTACACATCATCTCACACACACAGCTGTCTGTGTTTCTACAGCTACACATCATCTCACACTCACAGCTGTCTGTGTTTCTACAGCTACACATCATCTCATACTCACAGCTGTCTGTGTTTCTACAGCTACACATCATCTCACACTCACTGCTGTCTGTGTTTCTACAGCTACACATCATCTCACACTCACTGCTGTCTGTGTTTCTACAGCTACACATCATCTCACACTCACAGCTGCCTGTGTTTCTACAGCTACACATCATCTCACACACACAGCTGTCTGTGTTTCTACAGCTACACATCATCCCACTCACACAGCTGTCTGTGTTTCTACAGCTACACATCATCTCACACACACAGCTGTCTGTGTTTCTACAGCTGTACATCCCACTCACAAAGCTATCTGTGTTTCTACAGGTGCACATCATCTCACACTCACTGCTGTCTGTGTTTCTACAGCTACACATCATCTCACACACACAGCTGTCTGTGTTTCTACAGCTGTACATCATCCCACTCACAAAGCTGTCTGTGTTTCTACAGCTACACATCATCTCACTCACACAGCTGTCTGTGTTTCTACAGCTACACATCATCTCACACACACAGCTGTCTGTGTTTCTACAGCTACACATAATCTCACACACACAGCTGTCTGTGTTTCTACAGCTACATATCATCTCACACTCACAGCTGTCTGTGTTTCTACAGCTACACATCATCTCACACTCACAGCTGTCTGTGTTTCTACAGCTACACATAATCTCACACACACAGCTGTCTGTGTTTCTACAGCTACACATCATCTCACACTCACAGCTGTCTGTGTTTCTACAGCTACACATCATCTCACACACACAGCCGTCTGTGTTTCTACAGCTACACATAATCTCACACACACAGCTGTCTGTGTTTCTACAGCTACACATCATCTCACACTCAGAGCTGTCTGTGTTTCTACAGCTACACATCATCTCACACACACAGCTGTCTGTGTTTCTACAGCTACACATCATATCACACACACAGCTGTCTGTGTTTCTACAGGTGCACATCATCTCACACTCACTGCTGTCTGTGTTTCTACAGCTACACATCATCTCACACACACAGCTGTCTGTGTTTCTACAGCTGTACATCATCCCACTCACAAAGCTGTCTGTGTTTCTACAGCTACACATCATCTCACTCACACAGCTATCTGTGTTTCTACAGCTACACATCATCTCACACACACAGCTGTCTGTGTTTCTACAGCTACACATCATCTCACACACACAGCTGTCTGTGTTTCTACAGCTACACATCATCTCACACACAGCTACCTGTGTTTCTACAGCTGTACATCATCCCACTCACAAAGCTGTCTGTGTTTCTACAGCTACACATCATCCCACTCACACAGCTGTCTGTGTTTCTACAGCTACACATCATCTCACACTCACAGCTGTCTGTGTTTCTACAGCTACACATCATCTCACACTCACTCCTGTCTGTGTTTCTACAGCTACACATCATCTCACACACAAAGCTGTCTGTGTTTCTACAGCTACACATCATCTCACACTAACTCCTGTCTGTGTTTCTACAGCTACACATCATCTCACACACACAGATGTCTGTGTTTCTACAGCTACACATCATCTCACACTCACAGCTGTCTGTGTTTCTACAGCTACACATCATCTCACACACAGCTGTCTGTGTTTCTACAGCTACACATAATCTCACACACACAGCTGTCTGTGTTTCTACAGCTACACATCATCTCACACTCACAGCTGTCTGTGTTTCTACAGCTACACATCATCTCACACTCACAGCTGTCTGTGTTTCTACAGCTACACATAATCTCACACACACAGCTGTCTGTGTTTCTACAGCTACACATCATCGCACACTCACAGCTGTCTGTGTTTCTACAGCTACACATCATCTCACACACACAGCTGTCTGTGTTTCTACAGCTACACATAATCTCACACACACAGCTGTCTGTGTTTCTACAGCTACACATCATCTCACACTCAGAGCTGTCTGTGTTTCTACAGCTACACATCATCTCACACACACAGCTGTCTGTGTTTCTACAGCTACACATCATATCACACACACAGCTGTCTGTGTTTCTACAGGTGCACATCATCTCACACTCAATGCTGTCTGTGTTTCTACAGCTACACATCATCTCACACACACAGCTGTCTGTGTTTCTACAGCTACACATCATCTCACACACACAGCTTTCTGTGTTTCTACAGCTACACATCATCTCACTCACACAGCTGTCTGTGTTTCTACAGCTACACATCATCTCACACACACAGCTGTCTGTGTTTCTACAGCTACACATCATCTCACACACACAGCTGTCTGTGTTTCTACAGCTACACATCATCTCACACTCACTGCTGTCTGTGTCTCTACAGCTACACATAATCTCACACACACTGCTGTCTGTGTTTCTACAGCTACACATCATCTCACTCACACAGCTGTCTGTGTTTCTACAGCTACACATCATCTCACACGCACAGCTGTCTGTGTTTCTACAGCTACACATCATCCCACTCACACAGCTGTCTGTGTTTCTACAGCTACACATCATCTCACACTCACTGCTGTCTGTGTCTCTACAGCTACACATAATCTCACACACACTGCTGTCTGTGTTTCTACAGCTACACATCATCTCACACACACAGCTGTCTGTGTTTCTACAGCTACACATCATCTCACACACACAGCTGTCTGTGTTTCTACAGCTACACATCATCTCACACACACAGCTGTCTGTGTTTCTACAGCTACACATCGTCTCACACACACAGCTGTCTGTGTTTCTACAGCTACACATAATCTCACACACACTGCTGTCTGTGTTTCTACAGCTACACATCATCCCACTCACACAGCTGTCTGTGTTTCTACAGCTACACATCATCTCACACACACAGCTGTCTGTGTTTCTACAGCTACACATCATCTCACACTCACTGCTGTCTGTGTTTCTACAGCTACACATCATCTCACACACACAGCTGTCTGTGTTTCTACAGCTACACATCATCTCACACACACTGCTGTCTGTGTTTCTACAGCTACACATAATCTCACACTCACACAGCTGTCTGTGTTTCTACAGGTGCACAACATCCCACACACAGCTGTCTGTGTTTCTACAGGTGCACAACATCCCACACACAGCTGTCTGTGTTTCTACAGCTACACATCTTCTCACACTCACCTGTCTGTGTTTCTACAGGTGCACAACATGCCACACACAGCTGTCTGTGTTTCTACAGGTGCACAACATCTCACACTCACTGCTGTCTGTGTTTCTGCAGGTGCACATCATCTCAAAGAAGTTGGATCTCAGCCACGTTACCTCCAAATGTCGGTCGATGGACAATATCGGTTATAAACCCGGCAAGTATTAGCAGTTGGTGATCTCTACGTGTAACACTGGTTGCTAGTTTCATATTCGTCAACTTTCACGGTCAACGTTAATTAGTCTGCGCTCCTTCAACGGACGAGTAGCACAACTGCACAAACTCTCTGCTAAAGCCCTCTCGCTGTGGCTAGCAAACTTCCACATTGACATTCGGCTTCTCAACATATTGCCACGCACAATAATATAATTATTCATAATCTTTAACAATATGTTCAATGAAAGTGACACACCGACCTAGGAACCAGTCATACTCGGTTTGTTTTGGGCTGGTTCGTGTATTATTTAGTATTTTTGTAAAATTTTCTTTCACTGTTTTGTTTACAATATTTTAACTCGTAAACGGGGAACGTGTTTGTTTTGGCAGGTGGAGGGCACGTGAAGATCGAAACAGCCAAGCTGGAGTTCGAGAACATCAAGTCCAAGATCGGCTCTCTGGCCAACTTGGACCACACACCCAGTGGTGGCAACGTGAAGGTCAGAAAACAACCCCAGGGATGCTTTGACATTCGCCGCAAGACGTTCCATTCCACGCCCTTTTAAAGCCACGATCGAAACACTTAAGACGCAGAAGGCACACGATTCCCCTCCACCATTATGAATCATGCCACGAATAAACTTTAAATAATCTCCCCTCAAACAAATAAGCCACAGGCCTCACCCCGCCGCCACAAAAAGGGACCAACTAATCGGGCGCCATTTTTTACAGGTCGCCATATCGGTGTGCGGTTTACGCAACAGCAGCATTGCTGATATGTTGCAATGCACCTCGTTTTATAACAACACGGCAAATATTTGTTGTACTCTGTGTCAGTGCAATGTTACTTAAAAACAATCACAGTGATTGTAGCACGACTGGTGTGCAATATTTGTTTTTTTTACAAATTAATAAACAAAGACAAAGATTTCCCTGAATAGCCTTCGACAGACTGTTGTGGCAAGTACTGTTAAAGATCACTAATGAAGGCCAGCATGGCGCATGAGGAGGGTGGGTGGCCAGCAGCAAACCCGCCGCCATGGCCAATGCGCGCCTCTACCTTGTTGCATTGTTATACCTGCCTGGCCTGGTTTATGACGGAAACACTACGTCGACTTTCGTGTTAATAATGCAAAGTTCCATCAGTTGAAACTCGGCTCGGATGGAGCACCGCTTTGCGAGGGAGCCAACGGCGGTTGTCCTATAGATAGACTCGCTTCCCTCCACCATAAAAATTTGGAATCTACACCACTGGCTCAGGCCTACCGACAGGAGGTGAGCACCATCTATTTTCTGTCACGCTTTTAAAGAGCCGGTCGATATAAGTTTTGCCATCTCCCCAGTGGCGATGTTTACTACAACATCGTACCAGGTACTCGTTTGAGGCTGAGTCGACCTGGAGAAGGGCTCAGGACCAGTTTAGATAATCGTCATTCCGGTGTAGACCATGAACAGGAATTTAACTCGGGTCGCCAAACTGCTACACTACTATTCCCATCTGCATTCCCATCTTCAAATGAATTGCATGCCCACACACACACAAAAACGTCGTGAAAGTTCTAGGCCTCCGTCTGCTAGCTCACCATGCAATGTGGTCGTTGCGTACATGTTAGGTAGAAATAGTGTAGGGCGCTCAGAAAGATGAGTGCAAAACGCACAGTAAATGATGATAGTGTCTCTGGCAAGAAAAGGAAAGGGATTAATCTAGAGGTTAAATTAGAAGTTATGAAGGTGTTTTGAAGCGGGTGATAAGGCAGTCGATATTGCCAGGATTCTCAGCTTACCCACGACCTCAGAGGGAGCTATTTGAGTAATGCGAATTTTAAAAATCTATAATGTACCCAAGATGTTGCACCTTTACCGACCACTAAAATAAGTCATGTAGTTTTATAGTCTAGAAAATATGAAAAGATTTCGATTTAAAGCTTTCGTGACTGCAGGGATTCATCTTCTTGGTTCTTTCGGTAAAGTCACGTAGAAGGGAAGTAATAAAATAATAAAAATAAAACATAATAAAATAAAATAATTCTTACGACGTTTCGGCTACAACGCAAGCAGCCGTCTTCAGGTGAAGAATGAGACAATGCCAAGCTAGGAGCTTATATATAAGCTGCGTTGGAGGTGGAAGAAAGAGCACCTTAACAAAATAATGTGCATATGAAGAGGAATTTAGCATATTCATGGAAAATGCGTAGGAGGTGGGCGGGGGGGTTTCAAAGTCATATTATGCCCATGCATTATGCAGGATCAACAGCACCAAGGGGGGGTGCAGGGATTAGCAGTAACAAAGGAAAGGAATGTTAATGATATGTAGCTGCAGTTACTCAACAACCACGTAGAAAACTAAAGTATAAACTACATAAAAAACTAAAGTATAAATAGCATAGCACCATCAGTATACTTACTATACTCTACACTAAGCTGAGTTACTAACAGCAAGTAATACATTACAATTCTACGTCGTAAAAATTATATAATATGCTTCCATCTAAACTTTATTCTATTGCATCACACGAGCATATACCGTACTATATACTGCCAACATTAAATTATATACTGTATTGCTGTAAACCAACCTATATCTTATACATTTAATATAACACTATGTATTATTCTACCCACCCTAATGTGTGTCGAAATGGTTTATTACGTCCTTTCTTCCACCTCCAACGCAGCTTATATATAAGCTCCTAGCTTGGCATTGTCTCATTCTTCACCTGAAGACGGCTGCTTGCGTTGTAGCCGAAACGTCGTGAGAATTATTTTATTTTATTATGTTTTATTTTTATTATTTTATTACTTCCCTTCTACGTGACTTTACCGAAAGAACCAAGAAGAATATGAAAAGACTTTAGGTATTTGGATTGAATATTAAAATTAGCGTAGCCCTACATCTCTTGCAATTTTTATCTAATTATTTTGTATTCATGATGAGTTATCTTAACTTATAATTGCAGTTTTGAACACTTCATGACGTTTAGTCATGCGTATTTTTCACCGTGCAATGTTGGCTAGGATCGCAACCCCTGATTTCAACATTACGTCTGTGGGAAAATAAAGATCGCTTTAAGCAATTTCGAGTTAAGTAGCATTTTCTTAGGAATGTAACCCTTATGCATAGAGGGGGATTCCTGTGTGTTTCAATTAAAACAAACAATAATATTAATGGAACATGTCAACCTCATAAATAGTGGAAACCTCAAAAAACTAAAAACGCGATGAAGGCATGGGTCGCGAGACGTGCCAGGTGGAGCCGTGCATTTGCTGAGACGGAACGTTATTACCACCGCCAGACATCCACCTGCATGCCTCCTTCTACTAAATCTTTCATGCCGCTTGAACCGCAAAGCTTCTTTCCACCAGGGCTTTATTGAGCTACCAGGCAACTTGGGCATTTACTCGGTAATCCGCTCATAAAGTCGGCCATCACACACTTTGGACAAATGAAATCTCAACGGCAGTGGATTTGGCGGACAATCGCAGCCGGGCCGAGTGTGTGGCACCCCAACTCGAGCACCAGCTGAAGACTTCAATCTGGTCGCCCAGTAGCTTTCTCTCTTCTTATATGGTTACTAGCATGGGTCTGAATAACACCTATGATGCCGCACATTCGTACGTGTGTATGTACTGTATGTTGAACATCTTTCGCACGACTGTTAGTAACCAATCGCGCCAACCAAAGGTGTGGGGGAAGGACAACAAACTAAACTCATTCAATGTATTGTTGAAGATTTAATGTGTTCTAATGTTTACATTTTTTAATGCAATTTTATTTTAGCATTGAGATATAAGCACTAAAAAGCAGTTCCATCTCCTGCTGCTGCATCCATGCAGCTCAGCTTAAATATATATGGTACAATTCTGCACAATAATAATAAAATGGTAAATACCCTATTCACAAATAATAATCATAATAATAAGCAACATGATTGATGACTCAATGTGTGATGTTTTTTTAAAGAACGTTGTAGCTTTGTTAAATGATGTTTTATTTAATATATAAATTCATAGCTCATGCAAATTGGACCGCTCACAATCGCCGAGGAACCGCAGACCCAAGCTTGAAGGCAGCGGTCAGTGTCATGGGCCAGCACTACCGACAGTTGCCCACGCTCTGAACTCTTCAATGTATACTCATATGTCGTCAGCCGGTTAACAAGCGTTGACACGTGTGGGAGGAAACCGGAGCACCCGAGAGAAAACCCACCAGGGAACAAAAATCTAATTCTAAATTTGAAGTTTTCGTGACTGCAAGGATCCATACTCTTTGGTTTTTTCAGTAAAGTCACGTAGGTAAAAAAATACAAAATAGATTAAATTGAAAACAAATAAATGAAATCACGACGTTTCGGAAGCAACACAAGCAACCGTCATCAGGTGTTGACTGCTCCAGCATAATTACTGAGGCGTATGAAGAGAGTTATTAGACAAAGATCTATCTCGCACAGATGGGACCGATGACATTAGTTTGGAGGTTGCTGGTGAGCCAGGATATGGCACCGTGACGTTTCAGAACATCTGTGTGTGACCCACCAACCCTCGCCCTCTCCACAGTGCTGGATTGCCGGTGTGCATAGCCAACACCACCCGGGTAATAAAAGTTAAATACCCCATCTATGATGATAATATTTTAAATAAAAAACTGAATATGAGAAATTACTCTATTTTTATATTTCCTGCATCTACAATTAGCGTGGAAGTTCAACATACATAAATGTGTGTAAATGTTGTAACATTAATCTAGAATTGAAGCTTTCATGACTGCAGGAATTACTATACTCAATGGTTCTTTCGGTAAAGTCATGTATGTAGAAATAAAATAAAATTTTAATAAATCACAAATAAAATAACATTACATTTTACAAAAAATTAATTTTTATTTTATTTGTGATTTATTTTAAATAAAATTTTTATTTTTATTTTATTTGTGATTTGTTTAAATTTTATTTTATTTCTACATACGTGACTTTACCGAAAGAACCAATGAGTGTTGTAACATTGTTAAATAAAAAAAATGAATTCCCCTTTCCACAAATAATCAGTATAATAATATGGCAGGCGATAGTGATGCACATCTGTACTCCAGCACTGCAGAGGCAGCGAGGGTTGGTGAATCACGCACTCCCCTCCCGCGGGCTTCGAGTAGGTGCCATACCCTGGCTCGCCAGGAGAAGGCGGTACAGCAAAACGTGGACAACACCTGATCCGTCGGTGTGGGATAGAGCGTTGTTCACCCGCATGCACGGATTTTCTCCGTATGCTCCGCTTTCCTTCCGCGTGTAAGCAGTCATTAATTGGCCGGCAGCACCCTAATATATGTAGAGGATCGCAGAACTTGAGGGGGAATTTGGCACCGGCTCGTCGCATGGCTACCTTCCCTCTTCGTCTGAGGTTTCTGCTCGCGTCTCCGAGTCGTTCTGTCTCTCTTCCGAGAGCAAGAAGCGACCACTGTGCAGTGGTGGCATTGGTGGCGCGTTACTACAAGTCGAAATCGTCGTTATTCGCAAGGGCTCGACAGGTCACAACGTTGTAACACCGCCCCCCCCGCCTCCCCATCTTGCCCGGCCTCGCAGATCGAGAGCCGCAAGCTGACGTTCCGCGAGAACGCCAAGGCCCGCACGGACCACGGGGCCGAGATCGTGCTCGTGTCGCCCGAACTCTCCCTGGAGGGCTCGCCGCAGAGCCGCCCCTCCGCGCCGCTCTCTCCGGCGAGCGCCCGCGGCACGGCACACGTCCCCCCGCGCCTGCACTCGCTCGCTCACGACGTGGCGGCCGCCCTCGCCAAGCAGGGCCTCTAGCGGCGGCCCGCTCCGCGCACTCCGCCGTGGCCAACACGCGCCTCTCCCTTGCCGCGTCGTTATACCTGCCTGGCCTGGCTTATGACGGGAACACTACGTCGACTTTCGTGTTAACGATGCAAAGTTCCGTCGGTTGAAACTCGGCTCAGATGCGAGGGAACCAACGGCGGTTGTCCTATGGATAGACTCGCTAGAAATGTGGAATCTCCGCTACTGGCTCAGGGCTACGGACAGGAGATGAGCACCATCTATTTTCCGTCACGCTTTTAAAGAGCCGGTTGATATAAGTTTCGCCATCGCGCACACCGGACGTGCTTGGAAAAGCGCCGTACCACCGCGCCATTTCAGTTTACCAGCGAACGATAGAAAAACCACCCTTCACCAAAACTCCGATTTAGAGAACAATGCAAACTAAACCCTTAGTTGAGGGCAGCCGAGTCGAGCCAAGTTATTGCAAGGGTGATGCATTATTCCCGCTTGCGTGTTACACGGTCACAAGCACCGCGTTCGTTCTTCGTGATAGATCACGAGCCACGCCCGCGAGCTGCTCGTCGTTAGCGCGCAGAGAGGGGCATTTTATTTCGGAACAGTGGGTTGCATTTTTTCCGGGTTTTTTTTCATTGCAGATGCACGTACAGTGGTCCCTTGGTTTATGATGCCATCGATTAACGATATTTCGATTAACGCTCTGCCTCCCATAGGGGTCCCCCCATTGTTTCTCTTAGCGATACATTTCCCATCAGCGGTATGTGTGTACGATATCACGCAGCCACCAATTTCAGCCAATCGGAGCGCTCCCTGAGTGGACTCGGCAGACCTCAGCCAATCAGCGACCCACCCTTTGATGAGCGTTTTGAGAGCCTAAGGTAAGAATTCTTATTTTATGCAGTTTTTTTTCGTTATTTATGCATGTTTCGAATAACATTCATGCTTGAATATGTTCTTCTGTTTATTTATAAAAATTGCGTTTTGAAATATTATAAATTATGTTTTTAGGGTGAAAATTATTAACTTCTGATCGTCTTGGAACAAATTAAGCCCCTTTAACATGTATTTCTTATATTCGATTAACGATTATTTCAATGAACGAGGGTTTTCGTGGAACCAATTAATATCGTTAACCGAGGGACCATTGTAATGTGATATTACGTGACATTTCTATGCTACTAGTCTTCGGTGCTCATTGCAAGAGCTATTGATTGCAGCATGTAACAATGTACTGCAGCATAGATGCAAACTATGTGTGTATCATACCGTATTCCAGCATTAATAGATTTACGATTCATAATAGAAGCCAGAATCAGTCAGAAGCTGGAATCGCTTTGCTGGCTTCTGTCCTGAGGATGCTTGGCGCGTCGTCTAGTGACACGTCGTGTTTTAATTCTGAATTCGATTGTGAGATATCTTTCTTCAACTCGCCCACGGTGAGCTGACACAATACTTTGTTGCGTTGTACACGTCACAATTTCGTTTGATTTGCAATGCCAGGTGGTAAGGCAGTGATGGGCAACCTGCAGCATGCGGGTCGCATGCAGGGGGGGGGGGGGGTGTCACGATAGTGAGATGTTAACTACCTCGCCTGGTATACAGGAGGTTCGTGGGTTCGATCCTGACCCTGGCGCCTGCTGTGTATTTGTAGCTTGCGTGTCTCTCTCCCCATGGTCGCATGGATTTGTCTCCGGGTCCTCCGGTGTTTCCCTCCACGTGTAAGAGTATTTGGCTGCTATAGATTACCACGTGATGAGCCACTTTGTTGAGAGGTCATTTGTGGCAGCCAGGTCGCTTCTCAAAAAGAGCGAATAGCTCAGTGGGCCTTGCCTGGTAAAATAAAATAAAAAATATATATAGTAGTATAGCCCGTGCAGCCCCTCATGGTGGCCTCGTCTAAGTGTGTCTAGGCTGATGCGGGGGGGAGGGGGGGTCATGATTCGTGCAGAAGCACGATTAGCAAGCATGCGGCCCGCTAAGGTGAAGGAGGGCTGCTCATGTGGCCCACCAACTGGTCTGGGTTGCCCATCACTGAGGTAGAGGGTTTCACGACATACATTCGGCAACATCATTACTTGACCGACCCAGAAAAAAAAACAATCGTGCATCGCAACATTGACTGTGAAAACCTATGCGTTAACTTAATCTTTTTTTTTTAAACAGTACATGTAGAGTGGCTGAAAGTGATATTGCTTATAGTAACAACTTTGGAGGGCACTTAATCTTTGAGTCGCAACACCGTAACAGCAATGAATTCACCGTCTGAGGGTGCAGAGCTGCTCGGGTGCAGTGTGGTGCGTGTGTGTGGGCATCAGGTGATTGAGCGGCGCCTCTGTGCCAGATCGTGCGACTGTCCACGATGAGTACCCACTGGTGTCAATGTTCAGCTCCTGCAGCACCGCAAGGGTATCTTGCCTCACCCCCCACCCCCCACCCCCCTTGCTTACCGACCTCTCGTAACGTCGGGATGACACCTCGGGAGGAATCCCAGTGCCGCTTCTCGGCCCGAGGGTCGACTGCCGCCCGCTGAGCCGCGGTTAACTTCGGCGACCCTCTCTCCTTCATCAACGAGACTCATCCTCGCCTCGTGGAGTTCTACACCTGGTGAAAAGAATTCAACTTGAAATGTGCCGCCAGCACATCTTAGGAAGTATTTCTGCAGAGAGTCTCTACATCGTACCAAGTCCCATGACGCCAGCTCCTAAACTTTCCTGGAATGTCATAAACCAGAAGTTTCCGTGTTCCTTCTCTTCAAAGAGAATCATAGGCTCAAGAGTTAACCAGCCTCACGTATATAAAGCTCCTTCTTTATTCACAACTCCGTATTATTTGCTGACAGTAAACAAACACAAATCCTTGGAATGCGTACACCGCAACCGTATTGTTCGAGAGTTGTCACTGCCCACTCTTGCTTTTTTTACGAGTCCCACGGACCAGAGAAGAAGTTGGTACGACTTGAGGGTAGCAACCCTCTCGTCGAGTGTTCTTCATTGCAAGGCCTGCGGGCCACTGGTGGCCTTTAGTGCGGCCCCTGACAGTGCAACAAATTGTGAAAACACCCCCATCATCATCATGATGCTGTCAAACCCCCAATGGTTTCAAATGTGTGGCGGCCCTCACACTGACGATGTCTTTTCGGCAGCCAAAGCGACACCACTCTGAAAATTTAGTGAAGAACACTGCTCTCTAGTATGTACCAATTTATATGGCTAATGAGACTGAAATACTTGTTATCCCCACTCATTTCAAGTGGTTATCTCACAATTCACCTTTATATTAGCCGCATTAAAGACATTGGCACCACGAGAGTTATGCAACCCCAGGTGGCACCGACAAGTGAGATAGTTGGTTCGGGGCCCATGGACTCTGGACGGGGCCGAGGGAGGCCATGGTCGTCCTGACTCCCAGTAGGGCGTGTGGATAGCGCTGCCCCACACAGGGCCCCATCACGTGTGTACTTTGAACGTCATTCGCTCCACCGCATGTAGCCAACCGTGCTAATCGGAGATGCGGGGTGACGGACAACGGACTTCACACAAAAAGCAGTTCAAAAGAAATTAGTTTATGTATGATTAGAGCCACAGCTGATCCTCTCCACGGGGCAGGCCACCTGCCAAACCCCACCGCCCGTCGGTGATATGCTTCTGCTGCTGCTGCTGCCGCTGCTGCTGCTGCTGTCACTGTTGTTGTTGCTGCTGCTGCTGCTGTTGCCTCGTAATCCCGCTGACTATGGAGTTGATGATATATTGCGCCCGGCACGCAAACGGCCTCGCTTTGTAGGGCACAGACTCGGCAATCGGCGATGTCAAAGGGCCCCTTGAACCGGGCGGACGAAGGCATGTGTCCGCTGAGGCGCGTCTTATCTGTCCGATGGCAGCGAGGGATGCGACAGTCTCCAGGAGCGCCGCAGCGAGGGTGGCCACCCTTTCCGCAGACGAACCATGGGACGTGTTTCTCATTCAGCCCGGGGCCATTATGAAAACTGTGATCAAGTTTCAGCTCGATACCGGCGCCAGATCTCGGTACGGATCGAGTCCTGCCACTCAGAACAGCAGATGCCAGTTGCCCGGATTGCCCTGGTCAAACTCGGACAGGTGGCAACCATAAACACACCACTGGCCACACACCACTGGCCACACATGACCGGGCCCGTTTTGTTGCAGTTATGTCGTGTTGTGAGTTGATGTCTGAGCTTATCTGAGGTCTCGTAGGTCCCAACCCCCTCGTCAAATAGACAGTAGAGCGTGCACCGTCAAACACCAAACTATTACTCGATTGTTCATCCCCTTGCATCGGTGTCATTGCGCTCCCTCGTAAATATCTCACTTTGCAACGAGACAACAGCCGTTTCGGTCGCATATCGGCCTCCTTCATCTCGGTGTGGCAAAATATTCTCCTGGTATTTATATATCCGCTGTAGTCGGTGGTGCGCGCGTGTGTGAAGTCCGCTCAGTGTTTCAGTGGTTGCAAAGTGCTGCGGCTGCGTTGGTGACCCATGTCACGTGACTGGATTAACAAGGCAATGCGTTATTAGTTTTGTGGTCTTTAAAAAAAAATCACCCGCGAGTCTTGAGTGAGCTTCAAGTCACTGCTGCATGCTTCAAATGAATCCAGCAAACCGTTACGCTGCTTACGTGTGGGTGATAACCGGGCCCACACCTGCACACACCCGCGTTGTAAATAAACTCAAATACACACACCACCGCAAACCTGGTCTCCGTGGCTCATGATCGCGTATGCTGCGTGATAACCGGTAAATGGTAACCGGTAACCGTTTGCAGAATCGATTCCCTGGTTCGGAGAGTCAGGAACCCGGTCGCTGTTGCCAGTAAAACTTTAATGAATGCGCCACTGATTGGCAGGTACAAACGGCACGGCGGCATGCAATCCTGCAGCTGCTACTCACACCACAGCTGGTGGAAGAATCTCAGAAAATCCTTGCGGGTGGTGGCGCGTCAAAATCAGTTCTCGTGATGTCGAAGCAGTTGGAAGACGAGTGTTGTTTTTTTTTACGAGCGGCCGAACACGAAGCTTCACAGTGTTGCCGTATCGCAGCACCCAGCCTGATGACGATGGGCTGCTCCGTGTTTTGACTCCTCGTGCCCTCGACAGATTTGACTTGTGCCCAAAATCAACGGTCAATGTTGACCTCTTTTTAGCAAGTCTCAGTCGACTGAATACAGATTCGAATCGCGTCAAACTTGGCCACAGGGTGAACTAAAGACTGATAAAAACAGATTCGCTGATTAAAATTTTAATTTTAGACTTTTATGAGGACGGGTGTGTTATGCTGCACCAGTGTACCGCCAATACGCCCATTCGCAATGATTTTTGTGCACCAACGTCGCCTCAACTCACGTCACCGCACAGGCCCCTAGCAGCCTGTGCACACGGGCGCACAATGCCAGCTCGGATGAGCTATATCACGACTCGCCGTTATATTGGACACACGAAGACATTGGGACCACCAAAGTGATGCAACCCCAGGTGGCACCGACAAGTGAGATCTCTGGTCTGGGGCCCATGGACTCTATGGATGGGGTCGAGGTAGGACGTGGTCGTTCTGCCCCCCAGCAGGGCGTGGGGATGGCGTCGTCCCACTCGAGGCCCATCCCAAATTAAAACTCAACTTTTTAATTAAAATTAATAAAATTTTGTTTTGTTACCAGGTAAGACCCGCTAAGCCATATAGCTCTTTTTCAGAAGCGACCTGGCCACAAATGACTTATCACGTGGACGTGTATAGCAGCCAAACACTCCAAACGCATGATATTGTTTCTAAATGTGGAGGTAAAAACCGGAGGACCCGTAGAAAAATCCACACGACCACGGGGAGAACATGCAAATTCCAAATATAGAGGGGTCTAGATCGAACCCACGACCTCTTGTATACCAGGCGATGTCGTTAACATCTCCACATCCTGGCAAGAGCCACAGCTGACCTACCCACACCCTACGGTGAGCTGTGCCGAGATGTCCATCAGCTGCCAGTCACTCCATGGCGGAGAGACGTGGCCACGCGGTCGTTCGTTCGCCACCTGGTTTCAGAGGTTCGCGGTTTAGAATCCGGTGGCCGCCCTGGTTAATACCGCGGTGTGTTAACAGACACAATTATGATACCATGCACCGTCTGCTTCACTCAGCGGACGTTAAACATCCCCTGGCATCATTGGCAAGCGTAGGCCATTGTGTGCCGGCGTCATGGTCAAAATTTGCCTCATTAAAAGAAAATTGTCACCAAAGTACTCCATTGCCATTATGCATAGCGATCATCGCAAATAACTCATCCTGGTCTTTGGTTCTTTCGGTAAAGTCACATAGGTATAAAATAAAATAGATCACGACGTTTCGGGCGCAACACAAGCGTCCGTCATCAGAGTATGGATTCCTGCGGTCACGAAAGCTTCGAATCAAGATTCATCCTGGTTTCTTGACTTCTCACCTGGTTAAACTAAATTGACTTTTACTTCTGTAGCGAGACAACAACAGTGGCAATGTGTTTAAGGGGCCGTATCCAGTGGCCTTCCTATCCTCTTTGTAAACTATGTTTTAGAAATTAGCGTCTTCTTGATCGCAAAACATTTTCTTTCTCAGCTGCGCTCTGTCCACCGTTGGATGAACGCCTTTGCTAAAAAGCCATCGCCGCCATCTCTCGCGGCCACGCGCGATTCAACTAACACATCCATCCCTCTCAGGCGCGTTCCTTCCTTTGGCCGCCACTCCACCTTTAGGCTTGGCCACCTTGAAGCCAATCACAGTCCTGTCAACCCATACGGTTTAGCCGTATTCTTGTACAGGGAAGTTGAGTTTTCAGGTCCATACGGCGCACAGCCGTTTCAATACGGGCATTTTTTAAATATATTTGTTCGTGTTTCTCCCTTGTGATGGCACTTTGTAGGATGAACGTTGAGATTTATAATAGGCAAGGGGTGATCAATAAAGTCTGAATTGGTCTGCCAAGGTATGCACTGATAAGGGGTTGACAGCAATGCAATCATCATCCCTCCTTTAACGACCACGTCAGAAACGTTGCCAGCTCGGAGCGATCCGTGGCATCGCCACGCGAATGCAAACCTGAAACGGACTCACGATTTGTCAAAGACGCCGTGACCTCTGGCGCACAGCGCCACCGCCACCACCGCCACCACTTACAACGAACCGCGCGCATGCCTCTTAAGCAGCTTTGCGTGTGAGTCAATCCGATTCTCGCTGCACGTGGATTTGACACGTCGTGCGCAAATGAGGATTACGTCGCGAACCGCCAAAAAAACCCATTCAGTCAATATCACCCGGCTTCCCGATAAACGTTGTTGGTATAACCACGATTCCAACGTTAGGGTAACGTTGGGATAGCCACATGCCAACATTCGCCCAACGTTAGGATAACCACGTGCCAACGTTTGCCCAACGTTGGGACAGCCACGTGCCAACGTTGGGGTAACGTCGCGTGTTTACTAAACCCAAATCAAAAACAAACCTCGGCGTTTCATCAGGATTACCCCCCACCCACCCTCGACCACTGCGACCACCCACAACTCCCCGCAGTGGCTCACGAAGCGCGCGGGGGGGGGGGCGGTGCGAGTTTGGGCTGTGAGGGCGCACGGCGACCCCGCAGCCCACGGGCCGCCACCGCCTCGCGCCGCACCGCCGCTGCGTGGGGGGTCGCGAGGGTCACCGCGCAGCAGCAGCAGCAGCGGCCCCCTACGAACCCCCCCCCCACCACCCCCGGGAGGCCGGCCCGGGGCTCCAATCCCGACCCTAATCCGTGCCCCCCACCCTCAGCCTGCCCCCCACCACCCTCAGCCTGCCCCCCACTCCCTCAGCCTGCCCGCCACCACCCTCAGCCTGCCCCCCACTCCCTCAGCCTGCCCCCCACACCCTCAGCCTGCCCCCCACCACCCGTACCACTCGCGCTAATTGGCAATCAGCGCACCGAGGCCACGGCCGCTGCTGCTGCGCCTCGCGCGGGGAGCGCGGCCCCCTCCCCCCCGCCTCCTCCTGCTGCTGCTGCTCGTCGCTCGCCTACACGGAGACACACGTGAGTACACGAGTGTGAGTGAGTGTGAGCACACGAGTGTGAGTGAGTGTGAGCACATGAGTGTGAGTGAGTGTGAGTACACGAGTGTGAGTGAGTGTGAGCGAGTGTGAGTGAGTGTGAGCACATGAGTGTGAGTGAGTGAGTGTGAGTACACGAGTGTGAGTGAGTGTGAGCACACGAGTGTGAGTCAGTGTGAGTACACGAGTGAGTTTGAGTGAGTATGAGTGAGACTGAGCACACGAGTGTGTGTGAGCACACGAGTGTGAGTGAGTGTGAGTGAGTCTGAGCACACGAGTCTGAGTGTGTGTGAGTGAGTCTGAGCACACGAGTGTGAGTGAGTGTGAGTACACGAGTCTGAGTGAGTGTGAGTGAGTGTGAGTACACAAGTGAGTGTGAGTGAGTGTGAGTACACGAGTGTGAGTGAGTCTGAGTGAGTGTGAGTGAGTGTGAGTACACGAGTGAGTGTGAGTACACGGGCAACACTGTCGTGGACATTGCTATGTGGGGAGGACCAATGCCCATTGGCCTCTCCCCTCATGGCGTCTGTGACCACCACAGTGGCTAAACGGGGGCTCTGGACGGGTGCGAGGGGCTGGTAACCCCTCCACCTTCAATTAATTACCACGAGACTACGATATAAACATTAATATGTAACAAATAAGCTTGTGCCGGAGGCCCCGGGGGGACAGACTTCTATGATGTCTCCTAGCCAAACCCCAATTGGCGGAGCCAGGAGATTGAATATTCACCCTCGGGGCTCCTCCAGAAACAACGAAAAGCCACTGCGGATGGCCACGTGGAATGTTCGAACGCTCACTGCGGAGGAGAGGCTGCCACTCCTTTGTCGGGAGCTGTGGCATTCAGGAGGTCTGGTGGACCGGTTCTGGCTCCTGCCACCATGAGGGGTGGACAGTCCTCCACTCGGGGCAGGAGACTGACAAACAACAGGGTGTGGCTCTTCTTCTGAACAAAAGAATGAAGGGGGCGTGGGAGCGTGGCGGTGAGGTGTGGGAAGCTGTAAGCCCCAGGATACTTTGGACTCGCCTTCCCATCAACCGGAGGCGAGGAGTGGTGGTCGTGGTTACTTATGCCCCCACCGAAGACGAACATCCGTGGAGGGATGCAGGCAAAGCCGATGAGTCAGATGCCTTCTATGACCTCCTGTCACAGGTGCTGGCTAAAGTGACCACTCGGGACAGAGTCATCTTGTTAGGTGACTTCAATGCCCGAGTTGGTCATGATGCTGGCACCTGGTCTGGAGTGATTGGAAGGCATGGGCCAGATCAGCTCAATAACAACGGTAGGAGGCTGCTAGATTTTTGTGCAGCCCATGGCCTTGTAATTACCAATACGCTCTTCTGGCATTAGCGCATCCACACAACATCTTGGATGCATGCCGGGTCCAAGCAAGAACATCTGCTGGACTACATAGTGACGGACCAGCGGATGCGAGCCCATGTCCTTGACACCAGGACTTACCGTGGAACTGATCTGCCCTCTGACCATCGACTAGTCATCTGTAAGATGCGCCTGCCATTCTTCCACTCCGGTGGTGGGTGTACACCCAGGACCCCATTCCAACCTAAAGTGGCCTGGTCTCAGTTAGCTGATGAAAGTTGCAAGCGAGAATTTCATCATCGCTTGCAGCTGGGGTTGGCAT